AACATTAATGGACTTGGTGCGATCTAACAAGTCTTGACCATGCGACTTGGACTACGAGGTTCATCTCCCTATCTTTGCTTCTTTATATCCACTGGACTATCCCGCAAAACCTATGCACGTCGATCTCATAGTCGAACTCCGTTTGTCGGGACCCTATTTTGACGATCTCGTTTACCCGCCATTTCTTTCTATCTTGTCCTCTTCTCAAGTATTGCTTTGGCTTTGGATAGTAGTCACTCGGCCGACAGTTTACTATGGACCGAACCCGATGCACTTGCTTTTGTTCAATGATCCTTCTAACGATGCTATTACCTGGATTCTGGATCGGCACCATCACACGATATGCTCTTTATCATCTACGACTTTTATCGTCCTTTCCGTCCGACTTCACCCGACCGAAGACTGCAATTTAATTTGTCTGAGCATTCCTCCTCTGATGGGCAGCTTTGCGGTCATTGACTCATCTCTATTCTACGAGGCGCGATTTCCGATGGACACGGAATCTGGATGTTTCAATTACGATTTCTGTTCTGAGCACCAATACTGCGACACTCCCTCTGTGGTATTCGATGGAATTACTCTATTCTACGAACTTGGTACGAGGTAATAAATACTCAGGATGCGACTTGCATGGACGACCTGGACTTGCTCTCGCGAGATTGGGCTTCAGTTCGAGCGAGAGGAGCGCCTCACTCTTCGATGTGCCCTGCGACTGCCCTTCGTCCGTCATTTCTTCGGTAGCACCTATCCGATTTTGCTGTCTAGGCTACGAACTAGTCTGTATCGATCTCCTAGTCGACCTCCACTTCTTGAGACTCTCTTCTGACGATCTCGTTCATCCGATGTTTCCAAGAAACCCGGCCTACGTATTCATCTATCACCAAGTTTATCCATGCGGTAAATGTCGATCATCTATTCACCGAACCGAATTCTGGCGTCGCCGGTCGACTTGAAGTTGTCCACATCGGCGTTGGCACATGGCTGTCTCTTTCACCAGCTACGTCATGCAACTTGACCAAAGGATGTTTCACCATCGAAACCCACTGAGGTCACAGGCTGGCTTCGACCGACGATCGATTCTCGTCAAAATAATCATTGAGCGCTTTCAGCAATGATCAGAATATGGTTTGACTTTCCTTCCATCAAGTTCCTGTCGTCCAACTCATATGTTACATTCACAAGGCAGCTGAGGCGGCAAGTTCACTCCCGGCCTCGCTTGCTGACATCAGATTCAAGACTCGAGAGAGATCTACGGGGGTTGTTGTATGTTTTCCTTTGTCTGAGTGCCTCCTCGAAACCCTGATTTTTTTTGACAAACCCCTCTGGTCAAATCTCCAAGCTCTCCATACCTGCTGTACCTGGTGACTATTCATACTTTATTCCTGGAGCTTACATAGCTGTGATTTTGCAGATATATTCTAAGGTATACTGAACGCAAACAAGGTGCGTCGGGTTAGTGTGTATGTCCAATAGGTCATCACCTCTTATCCGACGTATCTTGGTTTGTGATGCACTTTCCAAGCTGTCCAGAATGAAACGAGTCGCGAATAGAACTGAGTAGTGATCGCACTTTACGACTTAAAGGATACATAGCTAGCTTAGAGCAGGCATGTTTACTACTGCTGGTATTTGAATCTTGTGTCAAAGAAAGAAGCGTGGAGTCACGTCACAGTCACAGAAGTCACGCCACATGTCTAATATTGATGAGTCTGACTTCGCTTTGAACGCGCAGCCATGGTGTACCATAATCTCAAGGGTAAGTGGTTCTGAAGCATGGCTTGGAACTTTTGACTGAAGCATTCAGACAGCCCTGATCAAAGGAATAAGGGCCTGCAAGGTAGATCTTTCAAATTCACGGTCTTGAAGTCACCTTAAACCCTTGCAGACCGTTGCAGACGAGCGGGCCCTCATCCAGCAAGAATCAGCCGCCATCCGAGCCTCGTTCAGAGAGGAAGATGTGTACGCGCGACACAACAATATTGCAAAACTACTATACATCCACATGCTGGGGTCGCCCGCCCATTTCGGTCAGATAGAATGTCTGAAACTGGTCGCGAGCCCCCGATTCACGGATAAACGCCTCGGATATTTGGGTATCATGTTGCTTTTGGACGAGAATCAAGAGGTCCTGACTCTCGTTACCAACTCGTTGAAGAAGTATGTGTCATATGTTATGATCCGCTATTTTTTGAATTTACTCTCGCAGTGATATGAACCACTCAAATATGTATGTCGTGGGTTTAGGACTCTGCACATTCGCAAACATAGCTTCGGAGGAAATGTCGCGAGATTTGGCAAATGAAATAGGGAAACTTTTGGGCTCAAGTAACACTTATATTCGCAAAAAGGTGTGCACACTCCCTATCCACATCGTGTTCAAGACTCGAGTGTACTTCAGGCTGCTCTATGTGCTCTTCGCGTCATCAAGAAGGTTCCTGACCTTGCGGATCACTTTATCTCGAAAGCCAAGAATCTTCTCACTGATCGAAACCACGGCGTGCTACTTACAGCCATAACACTTACAACCGAAATGTGTCAGATCGACGAGAATTGTCTGAACGAATTCCGAAATGTAAGCGCTTTCGCTCGTGCTAGCAAGCTTGTTATCATTGATTATTCACGTGCTCGCAGGCTGTGCCGCTACTTGTTCGTAACTTGAAAGCCTTGGTCACCACTGGATACAGCCCCGAGCACGATGTCTCTGGTATCACAGATCCATTCTTGCAGGTCAAAGTCTTGCGATTGCTTCGTTTACTTGGCAAAGGCGATGCACGTGCTAGCGAGACCATGAATGATATCTTGGCGCAGGTTGCAACTAACACTGATTCGACCAAGAACGTCGGCAATTCGATATTATATGAAACTGTCCTGACGATCCTTGAGATCGAAGCGGATTCTGGTCTGCGCGTCATGGCTATTAATATTCTTGGCAAGTTCTTGGGTAACCGTGACAATAACATTCGGTCGGTTAAAATTACGTTCTGAAAGTATATTCACTTACTTCGCTCAGTTATGTCGCTTTGAACACTTTGAACAAAGTGGTCGGAATGGACACCAATGCAGTTCAGCGGCACAGAAATATCATCCTAGACTGTCTGCGGGATGGCGATATATCCATCAGGCGGCGTGCTCTCGAATTGTCATATGCGCTCATCAATGAGCAGAACGTGCGGATACTCATTCGCGAGCTGCTTGCTTTCCTTGAGGTTGCGGACGACGAGTTCAAGCTTGGCATGACAACACAGATATCACTCGCTGCAGAGCGTTTCGCTCCAAACAAACGGTGGCACATCGACACTGTACTTAGGGTGCTCAAATTGGTGAGTGGATTCTCAACGTTAAAGGTATCTATTCACTCACGTTCATGTTAGGCCGGAAACTTTGTCCGCGAGGAGATCCTGTCTGCTTTTATCCGTCTTGTCGCTCATACCCCGGAGCTTCAAGCATACACATCGTCCAAGCTCTATACCGCCCTCCAGGATGACATCTCACAAGAGTCACTAACATTGGCTGCTTTGTGGGTAATCGGTGAATATGGTGATGTGCTCTTCGATGGCAGCGTCGTGGACGAGGATCAGCCCAAGCAGGTCAGTAATAAACTCTGTGCATGGAATTGAGAGATTATGACTTGCTTCTTCTAGATTACCGACAAGGACCTTTTAGATCTCCTACTTACCACCCTTGACTCACCCTACGCAAACTCCCTTACTCGACAATTCCTAATGGCAAGTATCACCAAGTTGGCCTCCAGACCGACGACAAGTTTGCCACAACAACAGCGAATTGCGGAGGTTCTCGCCAAGTATACCACTAGCCCAGAGTTGGAACTGCAACAACGCGCCGTTGAATTCGCAAGTTTGTTCACCTTGGGCGATCTAAGGAGTGGCGTCCTAGAACGGATGCCACCTCCAGAGCTCAAAGCTACTGTAATGGGCGTTGGTGCGTAGACTCTTAAATTCGATTTGACGACGTTCTGACATTTTCCCAGTCAGTGAAAATAAGCCCGTTGGGTCCACTCAAAGTGGGAAGGACGCCGATCTTCTTGGCGATGAGATGACACCGCCGACGCCTGTCGTCAATGGCCAGGCAACGCACAACAATCACGACCTCCTTGCAGAGATCTTCGGTAGCAGTCCTGCTGCTCCGTCTCCGACTCACGGTCGCACACCCTCTGTTTCACCGCAACCCCAGAAAAGCAGTGTCCAAGATATTCTCGGTTTGTTTGACTCTTCCCCTTCCCCAGCGTCGCCTGCTCCTGCTCCTTCCCCTGCCACATCTGCTTTCGCCACCTTCTCTCCGCAACCACAGAGCCAGGCACCTCCCCGACCCTCTCCGCAACAACAGCACCCACCTGCGCCACGGTTGACCTCTTATACCGCCTATGACAAGCAGGAGCTCAAGATTACCCTTACACCTCAAACCTCTGCTGCGCGACCAGGTGTCGTCAATATCATGGCCCGCTTCCAAGTTTCCGGTTCGAACGCTGCTACCGGACTTAACTTCCAGGCTGCTGTTCCCAAGGTAAGGATTAAGATCCAACAAGCTGGTGACATCCTACTGAGCTGTTGTACAGTCACAACAACTGCAGATGCTTCCCATGTCGAATTCCGATGTTCAGCCAGGTGCTACGGAAACTCAACAAATGCGTGTGATGGGGCCGCCTGGTGTATGTATCCCTTCTTTCTTCATGTTGAAATCATTTTCTGATTGATTTTTATACAAAGTCCAATATACGGCTACGGCTACGTATATCATATACCCTTGCTGGGCAGGCAGTCCAAGACCAAATAGATTTCTCGGGTTTCCCGCCAGGGTTAACAGGAAGTGGTTAGCTTGTGGTTAGGATGTACGGTACTCGCTATCTAAGCTGTTACGCACAGCGCTATTAATGATCAGTATCTGGCACACACTTGGTTTACATGGATATTATCGACTATCTTCGCCTTATCACGACAAGAGCAAGAGGCAACACCTTGGATACAAACTGATTCAGTTCAGTCTCAATCGTAATAACACACGATTTGCTCACTATGCTGACTGTCCTGAGACCATGCCAATTGTTTAATTGACAAGGGATCTTCATAGTTCGTACGTAAGATTGGGAGTTTAACAGGAGGAAGACACGTACCGTCCCTAAGCCACACATCAACTGGAGGAGGTTGCCTCTTACGGACAGGAGGATCTCTCAGCAATTCCAAGGTCTTGAGACGAGGGCAACGGTTGATGATAGCAATGGCGATGTTTCTTTCGGCTTGCGATCCTTCGAGATCGCGCTTCACTCCCCAGTGGATATGTTCCAGCTTCGGGAACAATGCTACCCACCCAGCTAATGCGGCAGTGAAACTAGGCGAGGGCAACTCTTCATTTTGGCCCTTCCAAATAATTGTGAGGGATGCGATGAGCGGCATCACCCTCTCTGAATCTGCACTGCTTTGTGACAGCAGCCAAGACATGTGTTCGGTCTTGATTGCTATTGAGGTCACGTAAACTTTGTCTCTGGTTACCATCGCGTCGAGACAGTCGTTCAAAGATGTGATGTATCCATCTGCATCAGGGTCACTGATGTCTATATGTTTCAAGACTTTGAAACTAGGCTGAAGACGGAGGATGTGCCCGATGTCATTCGGTAATCCCACGAGTGTCCTCAGTTTAGGAAGGGCATTAAGGGTGAGGACCGATTTGTTCTGTGTCTCACTGTCCTCCAAGGAGAGGCCTTTCGTAGTCAGTGAGGTGAGCCCGTTATGACGGCGCAGAAACTGCGTCAAACATTGAAGCGACAATGAATTGGAGGAAATAACAAATTCTCGAAGGTGGCGAAGGCGGAGCATTGACAAGATATGGGTCCACTTTGGCGCATTGCGAAAGCGAAGGTCAAGTGTTAACGAAGTGATGGAAGAATCATTGAGTGTCCGGACGGTCCACGTGCTCATGAATGGCGCAAAGAAGTAGTCTGTCGAAAGGTTGACTGTCTTCAATGTAGTGAGGGACGGTGTTATTGTGATCCAATAATTCTCGTTACGTTTGTAACGGCGAAATAATTTCCTGCAAAATCTGGCAACAGTCTGCATGGTCATAAGTAGATAGAAGTAGTAGAGAAGACAATGAACTTACATCCACGGTACTGACTACGCCTTCCAAGCGCAAAGCACGGGTCAGATCTGTTACTCCTGGAACCCATGCTCTGTCTGTGTGCCCCCCAGTTATGAGCATATCTTCGCATCCCTGTTTCTTGATGACAATCATTAGATCTATAAGCCCAAATATGACATCTCTGGAGTATGGCTCCATGCCACGCCCGAAGCGCAAGTGGAGGTTGCGGAACGGCTCCAACTTTGCGATGAAGCGCGTAAGAAACCTGAGTTGGGTATAACTGGTGACAGTACAGCAGACGGAATCACATTTCTTCACCCAGAGTGCCAACAAAAGCCCGCGCAATGCAGCTATAGTTGGTTGGCAGATACTGGCAGGTGCGTTCGTAGGGGCATTGACGCCAGTGAACCGATCAAAGTAGACGGTGAGTGCAGCAAAATGAAGCTGCTTTGAGACGATGGAGAGCACTAGAAGCTCATCGTTTGCTAGATTTTTGGATATGTGACATAGGATTTCGCTCGGAAGGTCCAAAAGACAGTGCATCGTCGCGGTTGCGATAGCTGAGCGCTGAGAACACAGCGGTGAGCACACAATGCGGATAGCAGCAATTTTGATGCCAGCATGCCGCACCTTCGCTCACAGCCACTACGTCTTCTATTGCCCACGTTGTAAACCCCTGTCATTGAATATTCAGTGCGTGGTCAGACCGTATCTACGCTTACGCCCGGACTACAGGGAGCTCAGCCATCGGCCTCAGATGCGGAACAACCGGATCATCCTACTATTCTCAGATCGCTCGGACCACCAGCGCTTGATCACTGGACCCCTATACATGTTCTTTTGGAGGAAGACCGGTAGTAATATATCTACTCGCACCACAAACGCCTTGGGAGGGCAGATCCAACACCGACCGCAATGCAAACCATTCCAGCCATCAACCAATACACCATATTTCCACCAAGGAGTTGCTTCTCGATACTCAGCGAATAAGCAGAGTTTGCCACCGCCGGTCCAATAGCTCGTATGACGGACACCACAGTTTGCACGAGCCCATTTGTTGCGCCAATGGATGCTCGGTTGGGTGCAGATGCATTGATGTACATGAATACGACACCTGTAAAGTAACACAAAGTAAACATTCAGCCCAGTTCGACTGACCGTCATGCATACCAAACGCAGAATACGAGATTACGAAGGCGAGAAGCTGCAGGCCTACCAGGAGGTAAACAAAATGGCTCAGTCCCTGTGCTTTAGCTGCGAAGCTGATGGCCGGGAACAGCGCAAGCATTGGGAAGCAACTGAAGACAGAGAAGAGATACAGATTTCTTCCTCCTAGCCAGTCATGCAAGCGCACAAATAATAACAATTGAAGCACTCCGTTCAGAATACCAAGCATAGCCAGAATGATGCCAATGGCTGGAGCATCCAGCCCGAGGCCACCCATTTCAATGGGTGTAGCATAAAAAACTGGTTGGACAGCACGGAACGAGATTTCAATCAGGGCAGTAGCAGCATAAGCGCAGGTTGCGATGACCACCCGCGTCACTAGCAAATCGCGGAACGGCAGGGGCTTCGTTTTTGATCGAAGGCCAGAATCTGATGGCACGGTACTTCTTTCGCTCTTGTACAATCCGAGAAACCGAGCAAAACTAGTGCTAGGTTGTGTGCTCTGGGACACGGTAAGTTTTCAATTCAAGTGCTTGGGGATTGACAAACCTCGCTGAGAAAAAAGAATGTAATGCACCACCATACAAGCGCTAGTGTTCCTATCACGCCACAAGGAAGGAAATAAGGATACGCCTTTAGGAGTTCAAATCTTCCAAATAGTTCCGGATACTGAACCGTTGGACTTGCAAGAAGTCCGCCGATGAGAGGCCTGCAAATTCAAACTTTTAGTCGACCAAGAATTAAATGGCAGAAACAAACGATTACCCCAGAGCGATGCCAGCCTGCCAAGCAAAAGGAATATACGCATACGCCTGAGACATGTTCGTGGAGTCCGTGATATCCGCGATCATGCTCTTCATCACTACCACGTTACCATTGAGCGCACCACACAGACAACGGCTTATGTCGTTCAATACAGGATTAATTACTAACGATAGGTCATGCGTACCTCAAGACGACACTCCAAAAAGTTCTTGAGAGTCCAAAAGAGTACATGGAAATGGAGATGCCCGTGAGACCAATCAATAAAATTGGTTTACGGCCAACACGATCAGACAGACGACTCCAGTGAAAAGTAGTCAATGCCTCGGTTGCAAAGAAGAGTGACTGCTACATGTATAAAACATTCATCAGAAAACTATTCCATCAAGTAGTGACAATTGCGTACCAGTACGCCAACGTAAATTGCAACACGGGCTTCTTCACCATTGGTTACTCCAATGCTTCGTATCAGCTGGACGCCTTTCCATCATCAATTGTTTGAGTGCAATACAGCAAGTACCGACCTGTGGTGCAAACGGCGAGATGACTTGCGAAGTCATTGGTTCTAGGACTTGAAGCGACAGTATGATGGAAAATTGGCTCCACGGGAGAGGCGTCTTGCCTGTAATTACTGGCTTCTGTTGGGGTTCTACATAGTCATTGGCATGCAGCAGAGGTGTCTCTTCGTCAGTGGTTTCGAGGGTCATAATTGTTGTACACCAAAACTCAAATTTGTCACTCTGGCTTAAGTACAATCCAGGGACAAGTCCCAGGGCGTGGCATTTGTGGGGGATAATGGAGATTAGTGTACCATTACAGATACTTGGAGTGGCTCACGCTAGTATGCTTTGTGTGCAGATCCCGAGTTTGGAAGCATTTGAACCACCCAAAGAGGTCAACCAAATTGACCCCGCAACTTCGATTCTGGGAGCCTATGTTCGATATATGGGACAATCAACTTCTACGTTCCCACCCAAACAAAGTATTGATCAAATCCATCCGAGAGCTGTGATTTTAATTAGCCGTTTTACATGGAGCAAGATTAACACTGGCGCCCATACAGACAATACCTTTCATCAAACGATATACAGACTCCCTGTAAGTCTGTACTGTTTTGTAAAACTCGATGGTTATTAAGAATGCGGAGTAGACGGCAGCTGATCCAACACCAAGATAGAAACAAGCATTTGTGCGAGCCTGTCGCGCCCTCGGACGCTCGGTTAAAGGTCGCCGGGTTGATATACATGAACGTAATGCCTGGCGCAACAGATCAGAAACTCTGTTGTCAATGACAAAATGACAACAAACTATAAGTATGCGAAAGCCGTGCTGCCCAGAAGAGCCCACCAAACCCCATATACTCTGAACAACGCCACATGATCAGGGTTACGGGAGAGTCAGTACCCATGGATAATGGCAGAAAAACGAAAGTGCTATGCGAGAAAGTTTCTCAACCAGTCTATCATTGCGAATGATATGATATGTATGTTCCCTGTCTTGTCTTCGTTTCGCGTGTTGCATAGTCTACGTCATCCAACACCATGTGAAACGCTTCAAAGTCACGAGTGCATGCTTCTACGCCGAATATACTCCGCGTCCTTTCGATGGAAATGTAGGGGGCGGTAGTACGGATATCGAGGATCGAGCCTCTGATCAAGGGGTTACCCGACTCAATTGCAATTGAACTTTCTGTCCTCAGGTCGATCTGAGTATCATCAACATAGATGCGACACCACTCACCCACCTTGGTGAGCAATAGAATTACTCGTCCCAACGCATGGCAGACGGAATCCAATAGGCTTGCCCATAGTGCTCGTCTTGAGAATCCAGCCAGCAAAGGCCATCTCGAAGAAGCATGTTCTCCAGAGCAGCTCGAGCACGTTCTCCCGTCCATCCTCGACGGTTCTCCAGGATTGCTTCAACAATCCATCCTCCTTCTACTTGTGCTTCCGCAAGAATCACAGCCTGATCTGCATCTAGTTCCTTGACCACGCTTCTCACCATCTTCTTTCCACCACCAACGTCAAGCACTTCGTATCCAGCGCCGAGCGGTTGAAGCGTCTTGATGCTTCTTATAACATCTTCCTCTGTAATGACACCACTCTCGACGCCACGCAGCTTGCTGACCATACGTACAAGCTCCCCCATTTCTATCACGCCCCCGTTTCTCTCCCTTGTGCTTACGCACACGTCTACTATCTGAACTCCCAGCTCATGCTGCCAATCGCCCATCCCAAGCATTTCTGCCCACCAGCCACCCTTCCTTGGTCCAGCGAGCGGGTCCACGCCAATCGACGAGCACATTTGCTGAAATGCATGACGAAACGCTGGATCGCTACGAATTGAATCTCTGTGTGTCGCTGCGAAGTGCGAAAGGGCAGTTCGGAATTGTGTTAGTTGTGACTGTAGATTATCGACCTGAGTTTTCGAGAGCTCTGAAGATAGTTCTGCAAAACGCTTTGATAGCTGTTCTTTGTCGAAAGCAGCGAGACCGACGCCGCGATGCATGTTCATTTGGTTGCTTTCAAAAGTGGACCTACTCTGGTCCGCCGCGGCCTTACTGAGGCTGAGAACGACTTCATTATCACGTGATAAGGTAGCAACTAGTACGGGAGAAGCCGGCCCGGGGTGCCGGCCAGTTCCGTTGTGCCCCGACGATGCGAACGCGCACTGCGCTCTATCATTAGCTAGAGACCTCCATGGGGCACCTAATAACGTTGGCTACGTGAGCGTTTTGTCATATCTGCCGTATCTTCATATTTACCTACATCTTTCCAGATGGTGCGTTGTAGTGACCTCGATCCCAGCTAGCACACACTAAACCGCTGGAAAGTTCATTAAACCAGTGGGCGTTGGATTTTCAGGTAATGTTCTTCAGACCACCACGTATCATTAAACTAAGGCCATACGTATCAGGGAAATTATGAACGTATCATTCAAAGCATCGCGATCGCAAAGGAGCGCGGTGCTACCCTGAGAGTTGGACCAGAGCTGGAAATCCCGTCAGTACTCGTGCACTGTGATAACGCGTATAATTAAGATCCTCCACAATAGTGGGTATGGCTGCTACGACCATTTCCTTGAAGGTACAAATACACACATATAAACATGGCACTCCTGATAACCTATCACAGGGGATACCATCCTTCATTCCTGGGAGGTACTGGCCAAGATCTTGGCCAGCGACGATACCATGGGGATTATCTGTGATATTGGAATGTACGTGTAAAGCGTTATTTACCGATTCTATACATCTCATTCAAAACATGTCAGGCCCGTGGTGCACAAGAATGTAATTTACAACTGCCGTGTCATTGTACACGACAGGCAGATTCTGCTTATTCGCCCTAAAATGTGGCTCGCCAACGATGGCAATTACCGCGAAATGCGGTACTTTACTCCCTGGATGAAGTATCAACAATGGGAAGATCATTTCCTCCCAAGGATTATTCAAACTGTCACGAAGCAGGTTTGTGATTGATTTCCTTAACCTCAGTCATGCACAACTCTTCCTTTCCAGGTCAAAGTACCTTTTGGAGACTGTATTATAAGCACGGTGGACACCTGTATAGGTGTCGAGCTCTGTGAAGAGCTCTTTACGCCAGCAAGGTATGTGTCTTCATCTTACCCGAGCACGTCCGTTCATGCTCGCATACTTCAAGTCCGCATATTTTAATGGGACTCGACGGCGTCGAAATATTCACTAATTCCAGTGGGAGCCATCATGAGTTACGAAAACTTTACACCCGCGTCGAGCTAGTAAAGGAAGCGACACTCAAGGTAACAGGCGTGCCCCAGTATGGACTCTGCCAGCTAACTCGCCTTCCAGCTTGGTGGCGTCTATCTTTATGCAAATCAGAAAGGCTGCGACGGCGATCGGCTGTATTATGATGGTTGTTCCATGATCGCCATGAATGGCCACATCGTCGCTCAAGGTTCACAGTTCTCCTTGGACGATGTTGAGGTCGTCACAGCTACCATCGATATCGAGGACGTGCGCTCACATCGCACATCCCGCAGCCGCGGGCTCCAGGCTGCCCGTTCTCAGGCTTTTCATCGGATTGAAGTGCCGTTTGCACTTTCAAGTGGAAAGTTTGGCGATACAGATGGGGCGATGGCCCTGGGTATCCAGGCCAAGCTTGCTGGAGCAAGGTTTCATACTCCAGAGGAAGAGATAGCGTAGGCCTATTATTTGTGGGTAAATCCAAACACTGATGATCTCTACAGACTTGGTCCAGCTTGCTGGCTCTGGGACTACCTCAGGCGCTCCCGTACACAGGGATACTTTGTCCCTCTCAGCGGAGGTATCGATTCCTGCGCTACAGCTGTGATAGTATTTTCCATGTGCCGCCTCGTGGCTGAGGCTGCACGCAAGGGAGGTAATGTCATTCATCTGCTAGATTTGGTGTTTTGGCTAACATGAACGCTTTAATCAGACAAGCAAGTTATTCTTGATGCAAGACGAATGGTCGGAGAGCCGGAAGACTCGGTTTATACCCCTTTAGACCCGCATGAGTTTTGCAACAAGATCTTCCACACGTGTTACATGGGCACTGAGAACTCTAGCGCAGAAACGAGAAAGAGGGCCAAGGACCTCTCAGCAGCGATCGGAAGGTATGCGTACACTTTATTCCTTGAGACGCTCGACTGAAAATAAATCCAGCTACCATACAGACTTGAACATGGACACTCTTGTCACCTCTGTCCGTGACCTGTTCGCGTTCGTTACTGGTATGCGACCTCAGTTCAGAGCACATGGCGGATCGGGTGCGGAGAATTTGGCGCTGCAGAACATCCAGGTAAGTACCATGAATCGGGATCTACATGGTCATTGATGACTGCTGTCAGGCACGGTTACGGATGCTCCTTGCTTATCTCTTCGCTCAACTACTTCCTTGGGTGCGAGGCAGACAGGGTGCACTCCTCGTCCTTGGCAGTGCGAACGTTGATGAAAGGTATGTTGACTGACTGGAATAGTGACAATTGACTGACTTAGGGTTCAGTCTCCGCGGTTATTTCACGAAATACGATTGTTCAGCAGGTCAGCCTATCTCGAAAGAAATGCCAACTGAACTAACATTAATACCAGCTGATATCAATCCTATTGGTGGCATCAGTAAGACTGATCTCAAGAAGTTCATTGCCTACGCTCGGGATGCGTTTGAAATTCCCATCTTGAACGAGTTAGTACAGCTGGGTTATTAGGATCGGCACCTTTTCCTGACGTTCTGCAGTTTTTTGACCGCCGTACCGACCGCTGAGCTAGAGCCAATTTCAGAGACATATGTCCAAGCGGATGAGGTGAATATTCACTCGAAAGTGTTCTCTCAATGGTGCTGATCACTCGATAGGCGGACATGGGCATGACGTATGATGAACTATCAGTCTTTGGTCGTTTCCGCAAAGTGGAGAAGTGTGGACCATACGGCATGTTCACGAAGCTGGTGCACGAGTGGGGCTCATTCCTGTCTCCCGTTCAAGTATGTCATCATTCAAGCTCAAGTGTAATCCGCTGATTACGTCTTCTAGATCGCAGAGAAAGTCAAGCATTTCTTCTTTGAATATGCGCGCAACCGTCACAAGATGACAACTCTGACACCGGCATACCATGCAGTAGGCCTATTTATCTTCACAGACTGATATGAGACTGACTTTGTCATAGGAATCCTACAGCCCAGATGACAACAGTATGTTACGCTCAAAACTCCACATCACAAGACTAATATTGTCGCACAGGATTTGATCTCCGTCCTTTTCTCTATCCCTCTAGGTTCCCGTGGCAGTTTAAGAAGATAGATGAAGTAGCTGCAGTCCTACCTGATCGCTCCAAACCGGCTGCAGATAAGACCAAGACTGACTGAATAACGCAGATTCAAGTCCATGTAATACTTAGACGACATGAGGCCTTAAGGCTCTAAGCCACAATAAACGATACTTTGTATTCCAATATGGCGGATATCATGCGAGTACAATACAGTGCGATGGACAGAGAAACCGAAAGGAAATCAACAACAATGTTAGTCAGATTATGTCCGCAAGAAACGTGATAGCGTGCTTTGAACCGTTATCTTCTTCATGATCGTCGGCTCCGGAGCTGAGGTGGAAGAATAAGCATCGCTGCGATTAGCATAATAATCCACAGAATCACTTACGATCAGTTAGGCCTTCATCTTTTACTTTCCGCTTGATGCTATCCATGACTTCGCTGACAGCAGAACGATCCAAATCTCCTCGAACTTTCATCAATCCTTCCACGAACGGTATACATGGCCCGTGTACTTTCGCGAAGGCCCAGAACGACAGGAAAGCCATGCTTTTAGACGCTTCCAACATCGCTAAAATCAAGTCCACCACCTCAAAGTATGGCTCGAGCTCTTTGGTGGGCTTGAATCCGCTGAAGAAGGAGAACACAGTACTGATGTCCTCTTTGATACGCTCCGTTGCTGCTGGTATGCGTAGTTTTGGGCAGTTGGCGAGTGCAGTAAGATAAGTAACCAGGAAGGCGTCAAGCAGATACTCGACAAGAAGCTCGAGGAGTGATGGATTAATATAAGATTGATCGGCCATGTAATCCCGCATCGTAAGCACGATCTGTTCCATGATACCGTCATACCATGTTGGCTGGAAAAGTTGCTTAGTCGCGGGCTTCAAGTCGTTGAGGATAATATCAATGAATGTCTGGATGCATTTCTTCGCAACATCCAAGTTTCCATCAATGGCGTCATTGAGCTTCTCACTGATGGGCGTTCGGTATTTCTCTGATACAAGGGGTTCGAGTCGTCCTAGAAGCGCCTCGGTGTTATCGGCGGACTTGATCTGGTCGTTGGCAAGTGCAATGCAATACTCTGCCAGACCCCCAACGACCTCCTCCGGTTTCTCCGTCTGCTTCTTCAGCTCTGCCTCAACAACTTTGGTCCATTGATCCTGTATGTTCCTCATAACTCGATTCACCTCGCCCACCACACGAGCAAGGATAGCTCCTTGACCACTTTCTGTCGCTGCATCGATTTGTTGGTTCACCATCTGGAACAGGATAACCGCGCCCTGCGTGCCATAGAGTCCATCGCTGTCCACCTCAGGTGGATCCGAGCGCGTGATGAACTCCTGAATCTCTGTCTTCATCAGGTTCGTAGACCATTCATCGAGCTTCTTGACGATCAATTTCAAGTAGTCCTCGATAAGATTCTGCTCCTCGCCGCCGAGCAACGGTGGATCAAGGAGCTCCGGAGCTACATTCAACTCTGTCATGCTCTTCTTGTACTCCTTAATCCAGGCATGAAGGTCTAGCATGATGCTCGCGTCAGGCTCCGATTCGATGATGCGCTGAAGAGTCGCATTCAGAGTACGGTGATACTCTTTGATATAGAACGCATGCATCTCGTAGTTCGGCGGAAAGCATGGTACCACATCGCTTTCAATGCGGATGAGGTCTTGATATATCCAACTAAGGCCACCGAGAAAGGCGCCAGGGTCGTGCTGATGTCGCGTATATGCGTCGTCAAAATTAGCCTTAATAGAGTCCGATATGGCTTTGGTAACTTTAGAGCGGTAGTGCTTAATGATACGGGCATTTGCCTGCATGGACTTGAATTTAGATGCTGCATCCATCTTGGCAGCTTTTTTGACGAGCCTAATAGCGATAGCCTTACACCAGACCATATTAACTTCGTTCCATGTGGATGATGCAATGTGTCATACCTTTTCGTCTTCCCGTGCCTCAAGCTCCGCGATCTTTATGAGCTTTACCACAACTTGCGGATACCCTGCACGAACAAGTGGCAGCACGTTGCAGGCTAACTCCATGATGTATGTCTCGAAATGTTCAATGAGCTTGTTCAACCGCTCAAACATACGCGCAAGTTTCTGACGCGAGTTGGCAGAAGCTTTCTTTGCTTGGTGCATGGTCTGATTTCGGAATGCCTCCAGACGGTTGATGTGAAAGTGGATTGGAAGGAGATTAGGAGCGGGCCCAATGATAGTCCTGCTCTCCGCTTCCAATAATTCCTCCAGTACGTCAAGCTTCGAGTTCATCTCCAGTAGATTGTTGACCATCTCCTCCGTCTGTTCGAAATTCCTGTGCACCATAGACACCTGTACAACCTCAAGCTGGCGAAATGCGTGAACAATAGATAACGCACCCTGCTGATCTGGTCGAAGGTTGACACAACATTTTGAGGGTCGGAGCACATCCTGTCCACAATCTGCATCTCCTCCTTTATGACCTGCACGTTGTTTCGCGTCCCAAGCAATTTCGTGAGTCCCTCCCGAGTTGCATCAAGCTGCTCTTTGACGCCACTTTTGAGTCTGGCATCAATTGAGGCCTTCTCTTTCTCCAGTTTCTTCCGGAATGCTGAGATTTTCAGGAGATCATCAGGAGACTGGAGGTACTCGCCGATGGCTTGCGCAGCAGATACCTGCGGGGCAGCCATGGGAGCTACGGCGGCCAGGCTGACCTCCAATATTCAAAGATTACTGTTGCCAGGAAATGAGTCTTACGGGTGAATGATTGAATCGAGGAATAAGTGAAAGTGACTTCAGAAATAACACAGTCCAGACTCCACACGACTTAAGGTACATTAAAGGCTGGCTGGCGCGTGTACATAATAGGCGCCTGTCAAAGTCACACCAATCTCATAAACTTGTGATTTATTTCATGGCCTTTTTTGCAAAGCCAAGGTCATCAGTGCGTCTGGGATGTCGACGGAGACTGTTTCTCAGATCTTTTAGTTCTGAACATGCGAGAGATAATGACATCGTGATAGTAGGAGGCGGGCCAGCAGGATTAGCTTTGGCAGCTGCCCTTGGTGCGTCGCTTTTTTTGCTCACGTCTCGCTCTTATTCGAGCATTATGCGCAGCTGCGAACCCTATCGCCAAGAATTCACTCAAGATTACGCTAATAGAAGGGGGGGACTTGTCCAAAATACAGGATTGGGGCATGCCGCCCAACGCGTACTCAAACCGCGTCAGTTCCATCACACACACGTCTCAACATTTCTTGAACAGTGCGTGTACCTTGTGAAGGTGCTTGATGTCATAGCTTACTGGTTTCAGGGATTGGAATTTGGGACTACGTCGAACATGCACGCACAAATCCTATTCACCAGATGCAGGTGCGTCTCCGCAGGGTGACATCGTCCTTTAGTGCTCAATTGTCTCATATTAGGTGTGGGACGGCGTTTCCGGTGCTCGCATTACCTTTGACACATCTGCAATACCGGAGTCGAGTGAAATGGCTCGAATGACAGAAAACCTGAACCTCCAACGCGCACTGCTAAGAAAGCTTTCGGATACCCCGAGTGTCCAGGTAATTCACAGCGTCAAAGTCGAATCGATACAACGCGAGGCAGGTGATCACAATGACTGGCCTCTCGTGCATCTTTCCAATGGCGCCACCCTACGCGCAAGGCTGCTGGTCGGCGCCGACGGGTTCAACTCCCCAGTAAGGTCGTTCGCTGGGATCTCATCATATGGATGGTCATATGACACGCAAGCGGTTGTCGCAACACTAAATCACGCGCCGCGAGGACCATTCCAAGTACCCAACAACACAGCTTACCAGAGATTCCTTCCGACCGGTCCGATTGCATTCCTGCCGCTCTCCCCTTGCACCTCTTCGCTTGTATGGTCGACAAAACCTCATTTGGCAGCAGCGCTGAACAAATCATCTCCAGGAGTTTTGGAACAATTAATCAATGCCGCTTTCCGCCTCCCCGAGCCATCCCTGCAGTATATCTACAGACGACTTCTTGAAGGCACTAAGTCAAGCGAGGAGATAAAAGAAGAAATCATGTTCAGGGAACGCTCGGACGGCATTTCAAGTCACTCTGCGTATGCATCTGCCACTTCAATGCTTTCAGATGGTGGTATTCCCCCGGATGATGCGGATGCGCTTCCTCCCCTCGTGACATCAATTCAGCAGGGCACCATAGCAAGTTTTCCGCTTCGCTACAACCATGCTGAATCCTATATTGGAGAGGGCGCAGGAAGCCGCACAGTCTTAGTCGGGGATGCTGCGCACACCGTCCATCCGCTAGCAGGACAAGGTTTAAACCTGGGCCTGGGAGACGTCGACGCTCTATCAAGGTGCATCATACAAGCTCTGAGACACGGAGGAGACATCGGTGAGACGCGTCTTTCTTCATCTAGAAGTGCCCTTTAACCATCTCTTCAGGCTCATATACGGCTCTGATACCCTACGCGCGGGAACGCTATTTTGGGAACCACAAGGTGATGTCAGCGATCGACAAGCTGCACAAGGTCTACTCTTCTACAGCGCAGCCGGTGGTGTGGGCACGATCTGTGGGACTTGAAGTGATCAACGAGCTTGACTCAGTGAAAGCCGCGTTGATGATGAATGCTGGAGCGAGCTCTCGGTTGGAAAATGCAAGCGGATGGGACTTACTTGCCAAGAGCATCGAGAGTCTAGCAGGGGCTGCTAGTACTTCAAAAATGGTCAGCGGGATGATTGGCGCAGGAATGCAGGAGTTGGCCAAGAACGCTGGCCAAAGAATTTTTGGACGTCCTTGAACGGGTTTACAGATGACCTTGCTTTTTTTTCTTCAGATAATTAGAGTCGTTCCACGCCTCGTGTTCATGTTAACCTCGAGTTCTAAAGCACACTACACTATCTCAACCTTACCTAAGACTTGCCATAGCCATAGGGGCGTTGCAATAAGTTTATTTGCAAGTATTTGGCTTTGTACAAAGAGGGAAAAATAACCTCCTAAGGCGGTGGCCCGATTGATGAGGTCATCATCATTAAATTCGAAATCAAGTATGCCCCTCCGGAAAGTATGACAAAGAAACACAGGAGGGTCCTAGGGGTTCTAGAGAAATATAAATTACTGTCAGGAGGGAAATTTTATCTCTCGTCAGAACGCCCATCACTACACACTTGAATCAAGCACTTACATATTTATTATCATGTCTCTTGTTCACTTCCACTACGACCCTTTCACCGAGTTCGAGCGCCTCTTCGACGATGCTTTCAGTGCCCGGTTCCGTCCAACATCTGATGTCAGCCGAGCCGTCGAAAGCGGGTCTCGTGTCGGGACATTCCGTCCAAAGTATGTGCATAATCAGGGACTCCGAATCATTGCACCGCTGACTTTCAGTAGGATGGATTTGATCGAGATAGAGGATAACAAAGTCATGGCCGTGTTTGATTTGCCTGGCATGCAGTCGGAGAATGTCACAATTGACGTGCAGCAGAACCGCCTCACCATCTCAGGGGAAATGAGTGCAGAGAGTGATCACACAGAGAAGGATTACGCTGTGCGTGAGCGCACACACGGAAAGTTCTCTCGTATCTTGCAGCTACCTGTAGGAACAGAGGTATGTTGTATCCAGCTTACTACCTCCGTGGGCCGAAACTCAAGTCACCTGCAGCCTGGTAATGTCAAAGCAAGTATGGAGAATGGAGTTTTGAAAGTTACTTTCCCAAAAACTGCGAAGGAGCAAGAGACCCAGCGTATCGATATCACCTGATTATGCCACAAAAAATGTTCCCCAAGAAACGTTGCTACCTGCCGTTGTACAATAGTGATCATTAATGCGTTGTTGCACTGTCAAGTATTAATAATGGCTGAGCGTGGATTATAATAGTGACTCTAGGACATGTTACCGTCTAAGATGTGGATGTGGGAGAGTGGAGTTGTTGATACTCGCCCCTCATGAAGGTCCACCACTGCGGCCCGTACATGTAATATATTGCTCCAAACGCCGCACCACCAAGATGAGCATAATGATCAAACATCCTGTTTCAATGGCATCACCAAGATTAGCGATGTTCTCATGCACATTTTTTGCACCCACCTCCAGCCGCGTATGATGCCAATCATGTCAAGTATGACGAGACCACCAACTCCCGCTTGAATCGGTATCGAAACGAAAGGAGGGAAAATGAGGCTGACTTGGGCGTCTGGAAAGGCTAATGCGCTGACTGTCACAGCTGCGTAAATGGCGCCAGACGCGCCTAATGACGGTAAAATCTCCCGCGGAGCAGCAGTTACAGTCTTTACAGCTGTGCTAGAAATTGCCGTAGCTGCTGGAGAGTTCTTTATGACTGCAGATGTCGTGAACTGATTGACGAGGCGAGGGAAGAGAACTTTGCAAGCAGCAGTGTGGCTAACCAAACCCGAGAAGAGTCCGGCTTCAAAAGATGAGTAAACCAGACAACGAAGACTGACACAAGCATCCTACCGGAGATAAAGAAGGCAAGGAAATGCCACTTGGCAGTGGCTTCTTGCTGATGTTCACCATGTTTGAGTTGTTCCAGTGTAAAATAGTGGGTGGCGGCCGAGCCTTATAGAGGAAAGAAGTTAGGATGTCCCTCTAGAGAGGTATCTAGCGCACCAAAGCTAGCTAGGGCCATTGAGTTTGCCAACAGGTGGATGAAGGATTTATGACTAAACATGCTCGTTAGCAGAGTATATGAGCGCCCCGACAAGGGGTGGTGCGTGAAAGTTCGGGTCATGAATGGCGCGAGTCGTGGTATCTTCCACACGAGATATATAGCCGTGTTGACGCCACAAATCAACCAGCACAATCTTCTGCCTTCGGGGGCATCAAGGTATGATTGTGCAGCTTGAACGTATACGGAGAGAGCGAGGTTGCGCAATGCAAGAGGCCATTCCGCCAACGTATCTTTAAGTTGATTTACTTGGGTTTGCAGATACTGAAGAGGATAAAATGTATGATGGAGAATTTCGGAGAAGAGTGAAACGCACCTTGCCAAGCTCTAGGTACTGAGCCTTTCTCATCTCTTCAGTAGTTGGGGGTCGCGGAGTCCATCTGTGAGAGACAGATACGAGATGTTTTGACCAGTACTCGGTGTCGACTTCGGTTTGACTTGCAGCTATCGAATACGCGAGTAAAGACCCACCAACAAAAAACTAATAAGCCATAAGCCAGCTAGCTAAAGCATGAACGAAAGAAATTTGCTAACCAGAACTTGATTCCGTATTGTTGGCCGGGGAAATCGAGAGCTGAAAGACTCTACTTCAGTTGAACGGGCAACTTGGTCACGAAAAGTTGGCGGTGTGCTCTGGAATGATTTCTCCGACGTAAACCGCCCTATCCTTGGAAAATTACGTGGTAAAGAATGGACAAAAGAGCGACTCGAGGGATTAATGCATGGCCGCAAATATCGAGACGTCTTCAGGATGTTGATAGTAGAAGACATGTTATGTTAACGTGTGCGTCACAGACAGAAGATGTCTTCGCCAAATCGGGCGACGCGTCCGATTGACTTCAGTTCCGCATATAATGATCTTCTGTTTTCGCTCCCTACTGACATGGCAATACATACGTTGATCTAGTACCTGGACACATCAAGCATTAGGCAAGTTGTCTCGAGCGCCTGGCCTATATCACAGGAACCATGTTCTACTACATTTCATTCTTGCGGCCACCTCCCACCCAAGCCGCCTTATCTGGTGAACCCATCCTCATCACCCCTCAAATCGCCAATGATCTACGGACAGAATATTACACAGACGCTCAAGATATATTTTATTCATGGTCCTTGCATTCGGCCACACCAAGCCCAGTAATAACAAAGCCCGTGAAGTTGACGAGCTGGAGGGCATCTACGATGTACAAGGAAATACCCGTCCCACCCCCTCGAAATGTCCGCAATGGAGAATACTGGCGCCTTATCCTTAGCTCTGGAACATCACGAAAAGATCAGGTACTTTCCCTGAACGATGAAAGTCTGGGGCGCCAACCATTCCCCGTCCTCTCCGATCCTATCTTTTTCTCCGCTCGCCCAAACAAGGCTGTAAAGCAGGAGCGGATTCAGAGATCATATGCGTTAACTGCGACAAATAGAGACAACCCTGTGATATTCCATATTATTGAACAAACCTCCTTTGACCTTGACAAGGCAAGTCAGACATCAGCTCACCTTGCTGCAGATGGTTGAAATGAAGCTCCAACAGAAAATATGGGACAGCGGTATCGGCCTTAGCTCTTGGTTAATAAAACTTCACTCCGAGATGGTTGCCAACACCACCCTGGTTTCAAAGGTGAAGAATACACTCTTCGCCTCCAAATGCGATGTTCTCGAGCTAGGTGTGAGCTCTCAGCGAGGTAATATTCCTCGCAGTTCTAACCCTGAGTAGGCGCAGGAACTGGCATAGTTGCTATCGTTCTTGGTATTTTGCAAGGCCTTGATACTCCTGTCACAGCAGGAAAGATCATAACCACCGATTTGCGTGAGCAGCGATGTGGTAGTAAACGGATACAATCACTCATTGTGGTGTTCAGCCTCTGCTCTGCCCCTATTGCAGAGCAATATGAGTTCGAATCAATCTCTCTACCACCCTGGAAACGCACCTAAGAGCGTTGTTCTCGACTGGGATGAACTCGACATATCCACCCAGGTGGCATCATTCGTCAATGGCATCGATGTGATCGTGTGAGTGCGTATCAACCTGCATCGGTAAACGTTTTGAGCTTTCATACTAGGATGGCAGATGTTACATATAACACTGCATCGTTCCCTGCACTCATAGGAACACTCTCCAGGCTTATCATGTTTTCAATGAGTGTCACGCCAGCAAAACCTCCACTGATCATTCTTGGTTACAAAGAACGAGACGTGGAAGAACGTACTCTTTGGGAAATGGCAGAGAAAATCGGCATACGTTTTGAGGAGGTCGCACAAATTCCTGGAGCGGCCCAGGGCCCACCTGTTGAGGTTTGGGTGGGGACGGTGTTAGTAAATATACAGTGAGCTTACCATATCATAATCGGAAGCGACATTAGTCGGATCCGCGAAGTATCGACTAGCTGAGGTATGAAACACTTGCGAAAAAGTACAGATGTGACTAGAATTAACAGCAAAATGCAATACAAGAAAAATGCGAGGTATGTAGTACTGAGATAGTGTTGATGATGGTGTACTTTAAATATCAGAGCTATCAAAGTGGCGGAAGGGGCCTGCGACAATGAGGACAAATATTCTGAGAAGATCGATCAATATGCAGTCTCATTCGTTTATATAGACGGTTACCTTGATAGCAAGCCACTAGTAGATGGTGGAGATTAGCATCTGGAATCCGACAGGAAGCAATAAACGTACCTTCTCCAGACACTCCGTATGCTGTTCAACAGTATGAGCGTGCCGTTTACATATAAATGATGTCGAGAACTCACAAATAGATGTTGACAAGGAGCCAGACTGTAGCTCCGCCTTGCTCCGACATTTCGCAGCAATCCACCAGTGACATGTTCTAGCTGCTTCTCATCTTCGGTATGAATAGCCTCCATGCAAATAGCGCAGTCCCCGAGAGATTCGTCAGGCGCTTCTGGGTCAGCGGCAGAAATCGGTAATGCTGGATGATAGTCGTGCACTTGCGCACGAGCAAACTGCAATGCTCATCAAAAACATCTATACAACTGAAAAAATACAACCTACTCGTTTTGGAAGGAAGAATGCCGGTCCAAAACGCTGCTGAAGCAGTATAACGGCAACTTGCAGAAAGATGAACATCGCAAGATACCACACCCAACCTAGTAAAGTATAAGTTAAGTCTGGTTGGTCCACGACTCTGAACCTACGGCGGGGCTCGACATCGAGCACATTCTTTGGACATGTCAAGAAATCTGAAAATATAGATATGATGAACATAAATCGACAACAAATGCATTGGTACTCACAAAGAGCATGGAAAAGTCGACAGAGTGATGTGCCAATCATATACTCGGCAGTGAGTGCACTGCTCCTGCCTTTCTTCACCGATCGAATAATTTGTGGCAACCAGAAAAGGGAGTACATGCTTGCCACAAATACCAGCGCTAGCGAAGGAGTCACGATGACTCGTACGATGAATGTTAGGAAGAAAAACATTCCAAGCCCTGAAGGAACGTCAGAAGTGAATACGAGAACACCAAAATACCTACATATCCGTGCTTGGGGATCTGAGCGAATGTGTCGAAACAATAAACTTAAGAATGTTGGACCAGTAGATCTAGGAGGAGCTGTCATTGGTGTAGGCACAGCTTGGGGAGGCAGTGATGGTTCCTGTTGTACCGGCCGGGGAGGGGGTGGCGCCACTGCATCCTCTGGAGCCTGAACCTGATTGATGAGGATGGCATGTTGCTGGAAAGCCAATTCAGTCTGCATAGTCTATCGAGCAGTAAAAGCTCACTGACAGATTCAAAAGCAAAAAGTACGCAGGCGACGAATGCTGGAGCCACCAGCGATAAGGAAGGACGCCCATTAGCAATAATGGCAAAAGTGATATGCCCAGCAAATGAGACGGAGTCCACAATGGATTGTGTAAGGAACGTCCATAGGGACACACGAGACAATCCAGCAGGAGTACGACTTCGGTCAACTTGACGAGAGAGTAGTAGTAACTGCACCAGGTACACCAAAGCTGAGATACCAGCATCTGTCCAAAAACGCGAATCAATAAATTGACTGAGTCAAGACGGAACGTCCTGACATGTGGCAACCTTCCGAAAGAATAACTGAGACCTTAAGACAAGCACTCAATTAGGTCCCTAAACAGGAAACGTTGAAGCCATACCTTAATCCTTCTGCGTCATGCAAGTTATATAGAATGCCGCATTCTCTACTCAAAAGCACGCCATTGAGCTTGAGAGGCGGACGTTTCACTGTCCATCTTCCCGTTGGTTTCTGTAATTCGTCTTCAAGGTCCTCCATATACTTTGCGGGTATCTCGGATGGCGCAATTTGTGCGTAAACGCTGAATCCACAACCTCCTTGCGACTCCCCATCTGCAAGCACAGTTAGAAATGGGACAGACATAGGAGTTAGATTTAGCATACTGCTCGAGTCCTGGTCGATAACACCTGCATCAATCATATCTTTCACCTTGTTAATTCTAGACATCAATTCAGGTTCTATTGTCCGAGCAGTGTCATTCTGGAAAGCTTCTGGGACGAATGCGGGGATATAACGGATATCTATATGTCGACTAACACAACATTTGTTTCAGTCGTCTGAACGTCATCGCTAAGAACACACCCGGTAGGTTCAGCAAAACCATATATTGACCCATTTGCGAGAAAGTGCACGCCTTCAAAATCCAGTTTCATATCATCGGAAGTGGCGGGATGACGGACATCAATTCTGCCCTGTGGGGGATTCAAGTTTCATAAAATGAAGTAATGAAAGCAACCCACGTGAACCATGGCGATCTTTTCGGTAACACCTTTTACGCTGATTGGAGCTCGATCCATTATACTCCATGAAATTTTGTCCGACCCGGTCCAATTCCAAGATCCGAAGTGACCGGTGAGATCTGTCATATTAGTGTCACCCATGAATGTCTCAGCGTGTGTTCTCCACGAATAGGTTGCGGATCCAAGGCTGGGAGGAGTGATATTGAAGAAGTCGATCTCGCCGTGCGCAAATCCGGTCACATTCGAAAAATAAGATGCCCACTGTGGGTTGAGACGAGACCCAAAGGACATGAATGACCCTACAAGAGGGGTGGCGGCGGCATTTCTGTCTGGCTGCGCTTCGTCAGCATTCACCAGCAGCCAGAAGCAACTTGGTACATACCATTGTAAAGTTAGACTCTGTCCCATTCAGCCAAGCGGTAAAGTTTGACAGCTGGTAGTTGAGGGATTGAAGGGCATCCTGGTAATGATTTCGAGCGAGAAATTCATCCCCAGTGTGATTTGTGAGTATGAAGAGCATAAATATTAGGAACAGAAATGATGGAACAGAGCTCCTCTGCTGTGGTATTCTCGCCGACTGTCCGTCGTTTTCGTCATTGCGGTCCATGGGTGTCGGTGGTACACATCCAAGATTCCACGACAGCACTCAGGGAACCTTCGGAACTTGGAAACCCACTGCACTATTGATCACGTGCCAGGTGCACTGGCACGTTAACCTAAGCCGCGATGAAGACAGCACCAGACAGCAAACGGTGGACCCATTTTCACTCAGCACTACAACTTGCCATATCGCGCTCAGCACATAAATGGACGTGAGTATCAAGGCTACTCATATTTACGTGTGGTTTGAACTAATGGTCGCGCAGATACGAAGATTTTCAGGAATGTTTCACGCTCTGGTGCAAGGAAGAGCCACATGGTGCAGAGGGCATTTTTAACACCGTCTCGAGGCATATGGAGGATCAGATACACGTAAGTTTCGTGTTTAAGCACCACTGAATGCGCAATTACTGAGACGGGCTCTCAGCAAAGCTGTGAGAATTTGTTTAAGGAGTTCAATGTAAGGGATAGTATCAACATTCTCCATGCCGTCGTCTCGGAAGCCAGAGCTCGAAAACAACGTGGAGAAATACATGGCAAGGATGTATGGAGAGAAAACCTCGCACCACGTGCTGCTGTTCGTGCACGTACTGTCCGGGTGATGGAATCTGAAGTAGAACGTATACGAGCAGAACTGCAGGCTGTAAGTAACTCTCAAACGCTGAAAATTTTTCTGACTTTATCAGCTTGAGGAAGAGAATACTGCTCTGTACGCCCGGTGTAAGGATAATGACGACAAACAGCGTGCTGCAGATGCTAAGACGGTGGAATTATTGGATATCCTTGATGATGTGCGTGATTTTTTCATTGGATTTGTTTGAGCATTCTAACAAATATGATAGGTTTACGCGAAGTGGAGTCAGCTCCCGCAGGATGAAATAGGAGTATGGGCTCTTGAATCAGCAGAGAATGTCGGCCTCGCGCAACCACCATAGATTGCGCCACGATATGAGTTTAGGGAGATAGTAGCAGTCCGCTTTTTTGGTTGATGATTACTGCTGTACAAACTATTTACGAAGTGTACTGGCAAGAGTATTGTAATCTATTAATTTGCACCCCAGAAACTCCTCAACGCCTCGTTGACCGCTGAAATCAATTTTTTTTAAAAAAACAACACCCAAGTTGTGAAAATGGGATGGCAAAAGAGTTATTGAAGCGACTGATAGCAGCAACTGGTTTCGATCCAGTGACCTCAGGGTTATGAGCCCTGCACGCTTCCACTGCGTCATGCTGCTGATGACCAACTGGTAGATGTTGACATCCTTGATCTCTTTTGGGAAATTAGTATCTTCATTACTTTTTCAGACTGTCTCTTTTTCCATAACATCATGAGCACCGAGCGGAAGCCAGCGCCTAATGCACTATGGGCATATCTTCTCCAGAAGGATCTTCCGGCGTCTAGCGACTTTGCCGCTACACCCATGGTTCCTTCAATGGCACCAGTCGACAGGACCAACACTTCCATGCGAATGCTCATTCACGATATGCAGGCGACCCTCGAAAAGTTCTCTACGAGAGTGGACACTTTACTCATTAACGTCAAGGACGCAAAGACTGAAGTAGTAAACTGTAGCCGGATATCAGAGAGTGAACATGAACGCGTGCTCGACGAGATCTCGAATAGTTGTGAGTGTGCGTTTATATTATATGCTTTCAATGGCAAACCATTCGAAACGTTTGTAAACGAGACGGTTTATGTTCTCATCACTCTTTTTAGCAAAGAAAGTGCAAACCGAGTTAAAGGCTTGCATCGGTGCACCATCGCAAGCATCATCTCTCGAATTGGTCCAAAAATCACAATCTTCGGCAGAAAACAGCATACAAGCTCTAAACAAGCGCATAGATGCGATTCAAATGGTACTTCATATTTTTACTACTAATCCCGCTTTGTCTCTAGTACACCCAGCTGATAGGCGGTGATTACACAGCTCGTTCAATCTCAGAATCATGCTATGCAAACTATACAGGACCAGCAGCATTCAATACTAACCGCGGTACTTCCCCTTCTTCCACTTGTACAAACCTTCCCTTTGTATGCGGATCAGGTCAAAACGTTCATAACCGATAACGTCTTATCCAGCATTTCAAGTCTGAGCCGCGATATTGAAAGCATGAAGGTTACTTTATCCGATCTATCCGTTCCTTTGAACAGCATGCGAAGTGTTTCCAATTCAGCTGTAGCAGTCCTGCCCCCTTTTCCTGAGAATCGTTCCACCCGCAAGCGCACCAATTCTCGGTTAAATCAAGACGACGCACATTCAGGGCGCTCACAATCTGACCGGCCCCACTCTGTCGACCCGGCGACGAGTAGCCCTTGCACAGATCATCATAAGAAGCGGCGATTGGATAGCGTATTACCTACTACCTCACCTGCGCTCGTGGGACCGCATACGGCGAATTCTCCGGTAAAACACGCCCTGGATGTGCGCGAATCCCTAATTGCCGACAGGTTGACTTCTCCCGCGTGTGGCTCTGTTACTAGCGGCGGATACACTGCAGCACCAAGGCCTAAACACACCGCGAGGACGCCCCTCGCTGACATACTGCCTCCTCTAGTCAACCACGCCACTATGATACAGTTTCGAAAGCCCGCTACCAAATCTCCTTCTTCTTCCGTTCCTGCATCCAATTTTCCAACGAATGTTCAAAGGATGCATGCTTCCTCTCAGTCGGACAGACATCCACTTCCATCGGCTCGACTAGACGAGGCGACTCCCTTAGCATCAACCGCACCAATCAGTTCGAATATCTCTACTACGGCTACGAAGCCCGACAACTTTGTCCCACCAACTGCTCACAAAGATAGGAAGACGCCAGAATCAGCACCTGCTGCTCTATCCATCCATCCGCAACCAACCTCGAAGGCTATCAAGTTGGAAGAAGTTCTTCGCTCGCCCCTGAGATGTCATGTCTCCATTCCGCCGTCACCGCTATCGTCTTTGTCTCCGTCTCCAGCACTGGCTCCAGCCCAGTCCGTTTTGAAAACTCAGGTTCAGCATTCTGCGAGTGGAATGGCACGGCGACAAGTCACATTTGCTACGTCGAATCAGGCATTCACCTCATCCACCTGTCCTGGTCCTTCGGTACCATCGTTACGTACGCTTGATTCCATGTCCGCATCGATGAGTTTGCGTGATCGACGTGCGCAGATGTCTATGGTGAGCGCCAGTACATGTTCACGGACGATTGGCTTAACATGTACTTTCAAGCTCGGACGTACTGCTTCCAGTGCAAAGCGCTTTATCCCTCTGGGTTCCTCCTCCGATGAAGAAGGCTAAAGACCGCATTACATTCCTTCTCTTGTTGCTCCTTAATCCCCGTTTTCACCAGTTGTAGACTTAGGCATTACAAAAAGATGATGTCCATTGATGCTATCAACATCTTCGAATCATACATCTTTGACTTGCTCCTCCAGCCAATCCCATAGCGCCTTGCCGAGTTGAGGGTCTTGGGTTTCCTGCCTAGGCGGTCTGACGCGAGCCCATGGCACAAGATACTAGAGACATTTCAGCACCACAACATCACACAAGTTCAATCCCGAGATTCACCTTGCCATTCAAGCTAGCAGCTTCTGGGGACGTAGCAGCATACAACTGCGTAAGGGCGCCTTGCGACACATCATACAGTAACACCTTAAACTGACAACCCCATTAGCGTTGAAAATTTTGCATGAGGATTTGGTGGATTACTAAAATCTTCTTGACAATACTTGGAAGTTGTGCCGCAGCGTGACGCGGCAGATCCGAATTGATATTGCCAGGATTCAGTGCCGTCGAAATAACACCCTGGTCTCCATATCGTTTCGCCAATTCAAGGGCGAACACGACATTTGCCTGTACCATGATCAGCCTTATTCCTCAACACTAAAGGAAGTGCTGTACGAATTTGCTTTGGTTGTAGAGTTTGCCCTTTGAGCATTTCCTTCGAGCCGGGCTATCTTTGAAGGTGTTAAAATCGAGACCTCCAAATAAATGGGCGCAGGAAGCGACGTTTACAACGCGGACTTTTCCCTCAGAAGTGACTTTAGCCGTCGAGGTTAGAATGGGGAGCAGAAGCTTTGTGAAGTAATAGTGGCCTGAAATGTACCAGTCCTAGGTCATCTCGGTGTCAGCTGGTGTTAAGTTTCTCACCAAGGATATTCGTTCCAAATTGGAGGTCGTAGCCATCTGCAGTCACTAGCTCGATGGGGGGTACCATAACACCACTAGTGATGTTCAGTACCATGGATCTCGTCGAGGTAGAAAGGTCATCTCACGCGTTATTTAGAAGGATATGTAGCTGTGTCTCTTTGCTGTCAGATATTTGAAGCTGACAATTCTTTAGGTGGCGCATCTCTTACCTCAGGAACTCTTCAGCAGATGCCTTGATTGCCTTTAGGTCTCCAAGGTCAAGTTTCAAGAATATTGCCTCGTTTCCGGTCTCCTGCTTCAGTTGACGGATAGCCTCCTCTGAGGCAGCCTGGTTGCGGGCCGCGATGTAAACTTTTGCGCCATGTGCGAGCAGAACCTTGGAGTCCACGTCAACACAAACCCTCAGCTTCGTTCATAAAACAGTAATTCACTTTTGCAGTCTCCTTCCCGATACCCGTATTGGCACCAGTCACAATGATTACTTTTCCTGTCAGATCTGGAATTTGGTCAACGGAAAAAGTGGCCTTTGGAGGTGCTGCGTCGGTGACCCATGATAGAACATTGTCCATTGCTTCAAGTTGCCTGCGGGAAGGATATCGTTGACACGAAGCAGCTGTCAGCCGCTACTTAAACCATCCAAAACCCTAACCCCAATACGGGGTTGCTGTCTATGTGTGAGTGCTCGGAAGGAACCGGCACCACATGGTTTTCTCTTCATAGTCCTTTGAACTTCTTTCCCATCTCACTCGATCCTACACAGTATCCTCATATTTTTGTCCTCTCTCCACGCCCAGTATTAATATAGCCAAGAATTAATATCCGTGCTGTTCTCACTCAAATATATTTTGAATAGATACGTATACCCAGCATCGTATATAGCTATCTATCCCATGCAATAGAGGTCATTCATGAGTCTACCTGGCTAGCTTATTTTCCCGCCCACCCGGCAATCTCACAGCATCCGAACCGAGGGTCCCAACCACTGTTTCTTTGCATGGTCTTTGCGTCAGACAAAGCTGGAACATTCCGAGTCTCTGAAGTGCGGTGACTAAAGCGTAACGGGTTATGTATAGCTACGTATAAATGTTGTACAAGCCCGCTTAGCTCAGTGGTAGAGCGCGTCACTTGTAACGGATCAGGAGATCCGAGAGATGATGAGGTCGGTTGTTCAATCCAGCCAGCGGGCAAATGTTTTGTTTTGCTCATTTTTTCGGCCTTCGAATATTCCTTCATGCATTATTACGTAGTATAATGAAGATACCAAGGCGACTCAAGTCTTTCGTGTTCTGGAGACTATGTAGTGAATTGATAAACATCTATCATCTAATTACTGATCCGCAAACTACAGGTACGCAACGACTTTCAAGATATTCAAGAACAAATTTTGGAAAAATACATGCCCACAAGAATTTTAACACTTGCAAATTCACTTTTTGTTATATCAAACTGCTCCTGATGAGCATGCACCACCTCTGTCTCCAATTTCTAGCCAAGGGAGGCATGGTTGTCGATCCACAAATTCCCAAACCCAATAAGACCAGAGACATTTGAGTCAAGCAGCTATATTATTAATGGGAGGTGTTAGCACGTATGACCAGTCGCTGACTGGGTGGGATGGCATGCTCTGCTGGCGCTTCCACACCACCTGCTAGAATGCCCACACGCATCATCCCAAGGAGCTTCATGACGTAACGTGCAAGTAAGTTCACAGCGGTCAACGGAGGGTCGGAGTTAGTCGTTAGCATCAATGAATAAGCAAATAGTGTCATGGTACGCACGTTATGCGCTGCGTGAGAGTGGGCATAGACACCGCCAAAGAATGACGCCGTCATGTCTTTCCCAGAGTTTCGTGTGAGTAAAACGGATCCTCCCGGATGGCTATCAAGGAACATTGACACGTCGTGGATGAAACCTGAGATGAGGAGAAGGGTCCGAGACTGGGATTCTTCCTGGACTATTTTCAAAGCACGCCGATGGAGATATTGATTAGCAACGATTGAACGTGTGCTAACGTGGAGTCACTCACATGTTTTCCACGAAACCACAGGAAGTTCTTGCGGAGGTACGGGCCATTCAATTGAGTCCTGGATGTCCTTGAGAGCCTTGATCTTCATCGTGAGTGCGCCCTTTTCAATTTCGTTGCTAGGGAAAACGCGGAGATGGGAGGCAAGACCGATATAGTGACAGACACCGATAAACCACTTGGTAGGGTCGTACTGATACCATCGGAATGCATTCCTGGTGACAAGGCCAAGAGTTGTGTAAATGACGTTGAGAACAGCGCAATGGATGTCAACTGCTACCTGTAGTCCATGGGAAATTGATGGTGGAAGTTATGGTATCCTTCTCCCATAGTGAGAATAGCGGACAAAAGATGATCGCGGGGTGTGTGCTTGTCATCGTACGGCGTAGTTCCAAGATAGTGGGCAATGGAGTTGATGCAAAAAGTGCACTGGACTCAGGTCAAGTTTTGTCTTAGACGAACAACACGGAACTCACGTGATGACACGCGGTCATACGAAGTGCACCAACGAAGAAGAATCCGCCTTTCCAGTCTCCCCACAACAAGCCAGGGATGATCATTGGAAGCAAGTACCCGAAAATAGTCAGGATGACAAAGTACCATCGGTGTTGCCATTGTACGAGAGGGTCCTTGCCCAAGTCAGAGACATCGGCTGGCCCTGGTTTCAAGTCTGACTTAAAAATAATCCATCCAATGTGCGTCCAGAGGAGGCCTCGTTCTGAGTTGTACGGGTCCAGATCCGTGTCGGTATGCCTGTGATGAGAACGATGGCGGCGTGCCCACCAATAACACGAGCCTTGCACTGCGCTCGCCCCCGCAAGAATAAGGAATACCTGCAAGGGGAACGAAGCGTTATACGATCTGTGTGACCAAAGCCGGTGGTATCCTGGAGCAGCACATTCTGATATCATCCCATGAAGGTTATCGCCACCACTCACCAGCAGTTATGCCTGGTGAAGCAAAATCAACAATCGGAAGAAGCGATCAGCCTTTGCAGAGCACCTACCAAGCATGGAATAAATATAATAGAGGACAGTGCAAACGACAGTCTTCTGAAGGATGGGAACATAAAGCAAGCCATACAGCGAAAGAGCTGGTGTGATGACAAGGACAGAAAGGTTGAACCATCGTATGCCAGTGATGTTCGGAAAGCCCTGCATCACATTCTTGATAAACATATTGAACTGCCGCCTCATCACCACCAGCAACGCTAGCAGAAGAAGGCGTGACCAAGAAGAACAGAAGGACGATTATCGCACTCGTTACCAGGAGAAAGATTATATGAGTTTCTCCTGCAGATTATGTAGTACCGTTGAGACATGGCATTATGAAGGCCCGGTGTGACTGATTTGATCAGGCAGCGAAGATCAGTGAATGACATGTTGTCGTGTGTAAAGTGTAACTCAAACTCGTGGAAGACAATGTCACAAAGCTACTTGTGAAACTCGAATTTCTATGGACGGTGAGCCTGTCATTAGTATTACAAACAGTTGATCCGAGACAATGAACAACAACCTTGGGCACTCACGCACAGGTTTCTACCGGACAAAGTAGTGTCATACGATATTGTGCACCGAGCCCGTGTTGCTTCGAGACGTTCAGCAAAAGCAATATCCTATCTAGTTTGAGTTGCCAAAGTGAAAGAATTTCTGGTAGATAGTTGACGAGGCTTACACTGATTCGTCCAACATTCGTTTCTGTCAACTCTGTTGCAATTGGCAAAGAAACAAAAGAATGACATGAATTAATTCCACTTCGGAACTATAAGTACTTAGGTACGTCGTGCCGTGCACTCGCTAGATCCGATACATGCCGCGCCGCGGCATTCTTATTTAAACGATCTGGTTCAGACTCATCGCCGTGACGACACGCCGTTTGACCCTCCCTTGTCTTATCCAAAAAGGTATTCGCCTAAGTTGAGACCGACACCAAATCATAATTAAAGATGATATTGTGCACGGTTACTGGTGAATTTAGGCGGCCGCTAGAAGCGCAACTCTAAGCGACGGCGCCAAGGGAAATGGTGACTCGTTGTCATCGGTCGGACTATAACAGTCATCATCTTCTGGATCAGTTTTTCGGTTAAGTACTTGGGTCGCACAATTACAAAGTAGTATGTTCATATGTGTAGATCTTGAGGTGTTTCCATTTCCTCGAACGGAAGTCAAGGAGAAACAGGACGAGCAAAGTGTACGGCCTGGCTTCAGGTCGTGAAAAAGGTCGAGCCGGACCAGATTGATTGAATCAATTTATATGAGCAGTATAGTAAATTCAACAAATGATATGGTACGCACGAGAGAGGTGAATCGAGGAATTAACCAGATGCGGCAGTGGGCCACATCACAACAATATGGCAACGGTAATCCACGTGTCCTCCTACCAGAGTATTCTGATGTGTAGTCAGAACCAAACACGAAAAGGGCCATCCTCCCTGCGCGCTCGTCAGCGTTGAGTTCAAGTAAGCTTGCACCTGACAATGAAAAATATCAATATTATGGGACATGCACCTATCCACCATTTCTACTATTATTGTCAATAGCTTCATCATTGCTGAGATCATAGTGGTGGTATTTGGAATCTAAAAGCACTTGCGCTAAGCGCTAAGGACCTGTCAACAGCTCGTTTACAGCGATCGCGCCGTTAGAAGGGCACAATGTCCAAGTCGGCTGAAACTCCTTTAGGGTTCAAGCTGACAGATGCTGGCCGCTCATTAATCATCAGTGACCACCTCCTATGTAGGTAAATCGTACTCCGAGTCCATGCCACGGAGAACGAGTCAGACCTGGTATCGACGCTCGCTGTTGTAATGCCCTTTTCCGAGATATTGAAAGAGGTACTGGCCAGGAGGTAGGCCCGGGTATTCGACCGCTGCTCCTGAGTCCTCGAGAGCTCGACGGCCCTTTTTGTCAGGTTCACTGACAAGTCTAAGAAAGTTCTGTCACACAATTTTTTGGTTCGTACCTGTAAGGTTGTGAGACCCTGGCCACCGGTGCAGTAATAGTTTCGTCACCAGCCATGGACAAGTGGTAGGGCTGAACGTTAACACTTGGAGTCCCTGTTAGATACATCGCTAGGTTCGGTGAGGCCGGGATGAAGATGAGTAGTAGTAAGTTTGCTCCGCGAGTACGACGTCTACTTATTAATCATTTAAAGTTCAGAAGAATCAACACTAGTTTAATTATAGGTGTGGTCCCGCTATAGCCCATGTTCACCGTCAAATCTCAGCGCTCAGCCGTGGCATCAAGACTCGAATTTTGTTCACAGCGCTCACTCCGAGTGAGTTTTTCGTAAAGTTTTTTTCTTAATTTGAAACCTGCCAGTCACATGGAACGCATCAATCAAACAAGCCGAGGAAGCAAGAACTTGTTGCGTGGGACTCATGGGAGCGAAACCTTGTTTGGTACTTTTTGGCACATCCGGCGAGCTTTACTTGCAATCTCTCCGTAGTACTCCTTCCTTCCTTCCACCCACCACACCCTCAGCAGCATACATCTCGCAATCAACTTAAACATTGCAGAGTATGGTTACAACTGCCCATAGACGGGCTTGCCATCACCAGTCTATATCCGGGATTTGCCATTTGCACCCCTCTTGGTTACACCACTGTGCTTGACATAGCAAAACGGGAACCTACACCAAAAGTTTCTCTGGACCTCTATCTTTTCGCGTCTCAAAAAGTGCCGTTTTTTTTTTTTTCGAAAGACTCGAAACACGATGATAAAATCTACCTGCTCTACTTTCTTCAATCTATATCGACACGTATCCGTCTATTTCCTATCGATTTTCACTGAAGTTCACGCGCAGGACGCAGCTCAGCCCGTCTCTCTCGTCCTCATTGAGGCATGCCAACTTTCAGTGGTCGCAAGGGCCATGCCTGGATCCTTTTTTCCCTGTGCCCTCTCATTCCTGTTTGTAATCTAGGAATGGTGTTATATTCTCCGCGCATCACCTATCATTTGGATACTGCCTGTATATGGGATACAAGCCAAGTAACTACTCATAGACGTAGTACTACTAGGCAATCTTATCTTATCATTCTCATGGTATCGTAGCACTTATCGTTTTCGGGTGTATCGGATTCGTCACTTGTGCGGTTATAATATTCGATTCAAGTTGATGTTGGGTATAATTCGCCTGCAGTCAAGATCTTTAGTTTTCCGTGATGGGCCTCCCAGCTGTAGGACAACCGCTCTTCGTCTCCCGCAATACCCCGCTTTTGCACTCACTGCCAGAACACAACGACAAATGTCTACGATCACATCGGTTTCGACGCCCAACGCCCCCTCAGCCATTGGGCCCTATTCCCAAGCTATCAAAGCCGGCGAATTCGTGTTTGTGTCTGGTTGCATCCCCCTCGTACCTTCCACGATGCAGATAGTCGAAGGCGGTATCGAGGAACAGACCAAGCAGGCCCTCACAAATCTCAAGGCTGTTCTTGAAGCCAGCTCTAGCTCAGTTGGCAAGGTCGTCAAGACTACAGTATGTCATTGACACAGTCGTCTGTCTCCGAGTCGAATTTGACGGATGATGCATTATATAGGTGTTCCTGAAAAATATGGAGGACTTTGCCACCGTCAACAAGATTTACGAGGAGTTCTTTAGCGGTTCGGAACACAAGCCTGCACGTTCAGCCGTTGAAGTTGCTCGGCTTCCGAAAGATGTTTTGTTTGAGATCGAGTGCATAGCAGGTTAGTCCCTCGTACTGTGAACTTCTTCGGGTGTACTAATAATGCGCCATTTATCTTCAATATCAGTGGCAAATAAGTGATTATTCACGGCTCTTTATGACGAGGAGCACCGTGAATTAATACGCAGATCGTCGGACACACGTGCAATGGGAGAGCCTCACGCAATACATCAGGCCTGCGCTAAATTTACATCAAGTCACAAAATTTGTATAAGCTTGTATTTAGGAACAAAATTGTCGAGGATGCAAAACACACAAAAATTAGCCTTGTCGATTTCAACAGACGATGGACACTATACTTGCAAGGTGCACCATGCCGCAGCTACGATGTGTCTCGCCCCCCTTGTAACAGTCCAAGCTGTGTCTGACACAGACACCTCGCTAGGCTTACTTATGTGTTTGGGGAATTACACGCACGGCTCAGTCAAATCTGGTCGAGCGAATATAGCACTATTTATGTACGTACTTGTGGCGGAATCTTTTCCTTTCGGGGCATCTTCTCTTCTTCGTTTCGTACCACTACTTGCAAACTCTCCGTACTCGTTCGCTCCCGCCTACCTCAGCAGCATACGTCTTGGAATCAACTTAAACACTGCAGAATTAAGTCAAATTTACGATTCAAACTACAATTCATAATACCAGCATCATGATCTTTACCCGATGCACCGCTCCCGAATACCCAGAGTCCATCACGATCTTGAGTGCAGGTTACTGTAGCCCTCATGCGCCCCGCTCATCTTGACATCTTAGGTTCGGATCGTTGTTTCTGGCAGAAAATGCCCTCGGTGCCTTGCTCATGCATATCTCACTTTGTCTGCAATCCTTATTGTACAGCAATCAATCTGATATTTATTTTCGGACCAGATAAGATAACAGAACGTTGACGGAACGTTGACAGGACCCATGAAGTGTAGCTCAACATAGCCGGGCTTGCCGTCACCAGTCTACCCCATGTTCGGGATTTCCCATTTGCACCCCTCTTGGTTACAATAGTATTTGTACTTCACATCTTATTAATGGTATCTAATCGATCAACGTTAACTCTGACCCGACTTTGATCACATCGTTTCAACCTCTCTTAATATTCTTCTATCGCAACAATGACAGAGCTGAATGAATCCGAGCTCAACAAGCCAGGTGGTGTTGAGGGTTCTGGCCAAGTAGGGATACAAGGGATGGAGATGTTGGAAGGCAGCATTATCGAGGCTTTCAAAGAGAGCGTGGAGCGCTCCGATCCTCAACATGCTGATAATCGCAACGATGTCACTCAGGGCATCCATGGCCATCTACATCACTTTGCGGCTGGCCATCACGTCTGGTTGAACAAATTCGTGCCTCAGCTGCAATCTCTTGCAGCCAAGTACCACGTTGGCAACTACGTCGCAATTAGAGGCACCAATCGGCGAATTTTTGAAAGCATGCCGATATATGCACGTTTGGGCATGCATATCTTATTTTATGGAAGGGAGCAGGTCAAGCTCTTGGAAGGAAGCAAGCGCATCGAGGCACTTCTGATGGAGCAGAGCAAGCGTGAGGGGCAGATCTACGACTCGCCCGAGTCTAGAAGTCACATCCCGTCATTCATTCAGACCTACAACATCGACACAAACGAGCTGTTATATCCTCCCGATAGCCCAGCATACAAGAATTTCAATGACTTCTTCTACCGGAAACTTAAGCCTGGAGCCCGCCCTGTGCAGAACCCTGATCATGAATTCTGCAGTGCCGCGGACTGCCGGCTTGTCGTATACCCTGCGATACACGATGCGCAGACTTTTTGGATCAAGGGGGACGAGTTCACAGTCCCTGCCCTCCTAGGGCTAGACAAATCCGATCCGCTCTGCCGGGCGCTGGAAGGCGGCTCTCTCGCATCATTCCGCCTTGCGCCATCAGACTATCACCGCTTCCACTCGCTTGCGGATGTCACTGTCATCGGTGAACCAAGGGATATTCCTGGACAGTATTTCACAGGTAAGGGGCGCCACCTGCAGCACTTAACGAATGGGAATTTACCTTCTGCAGTCAACCCGCAGGCAGTCAACGAGAAAAATCTTGATGTACTGTCTGCCAACAAGAGATCGGTTCTCCTTCTAAACCATGACGCGACGAATAAGAAGATCGCATTCGTTGCAGTCGGCGCCTTGCTCGTTGGAAGCATCCAGTGGACCGTTTCGGTACGTCTACCGAACATGATCGTCTAGCATGCCAAACTCACTTCCATCAGGCGGGTTCCAAGGTTCGGCGTGGAGAAGAACTTGGGTACTTCGCATACGGAGGTAGCACTGTCGTTGCTATCCTCGAGCCGGGGATGGCCGAATGGGATTCCGATCTTGTGGCCAACTCTTCGCCCCGGACGCCGGGTAAACTTGGAACCGAGACTCTGATGAAAGTTGGCTGGTCTATTGGGAAGGCACCAAGGAAGTAAACAGAAACTGCTATAAAATCAGTATCTCTTAAACTTGAATGTAAGCGCATTCTATTTTCCCAATCATGTATCATCATAGCTTTTGAACTATTTAAATACGTACATAATCAAACGAGTCTGCTCGCAAATCCATCTCACCAAGGACCAAACTAAAGAATGGGATAAAACTGTACACTGAGTAGGTGAACGACGACGCACGGGCACGGCTCTACAACTTGGTATTTCTACTGCCTCCGATTTTTCGTCTTTCTCATATGCATTCAATGGAAGGCGACGTCTCCGAGTCATGCATATGCTTTAGCTATGCTCTTCGTTACATTCGTAAATCCGCTCAATTCAAAACAGTCTGTCACATCTAGAAGAATCCTATCAAAAAAAGACAGCAATAACTTGTACACAAGTATAGATGACTGAAGAGATTGAGGTATGCAAGCCGGTCGGATAAAGTACATCGATGATCGCATCAAGCTCTGCCATTTTGAGATCCGCCTGTCTCCTTCAGTGCCTCCCTGCCTGCATTTCGAAAGGCTACAAGGGCATCCCATGCACGTCCAGACGTTATGCTGTTCATCGCTAGCGCAGCCCCTTCTTTGAAGTCCGAAGCTAAACCTGCAACAACCAGAAGCGCTGATGCGTTCAGCAATACAAAGTGCAAAACGGGTATCAGCGACACCGGTATATCATTACCCGAGTTAAGCAATGCCTTGAACGTCCCTGCATTCTCTGTCGGTGTTCCGCCAGTAACGGATGAGAGTGGATGGACACTTAGTCCGAAAAGGTCTGGGTGCAATCTGATTTCCGTAATTTTGCCATCCTCCAATTGCCACGCGTACGTGTCGCCGGCACAGCTAATCTCATCAAGTCCTTCGGCTCCGCATACAACGAGGGCGCGCTCGACGCCACCTTCACGGAGGGACTGAGCGAAGGTAGGACCGAGTTCACGCTCAGCCACTCCCAAAACCATTCCTCGTGGACGTGCAGGATTTATGAGGGGCCCAAGGACATTGAAGAGCGTTCTGAAGGGTAAGGACTTGCGGTATGGTGCAATCATAGCGAGTGCAGGATGGTAATGAGGCGCGAGGATGAAGGTGAATGGCACCTTAGATATGGGAAAGGGAGTGCCTGGTGAAGGGGCAGTAAATGAACAGTCAAGGGATTGCAAAAGATCTGCTGATCCAGATGAGGACGTGGAAGCCCTGCTTCCATGCTTATTTTTTATTCGTCAGATAAATCACTGCAGTAGATGTAATGTAATCTTACCTTAATCACTCGAGCGCCTGCGCCTGCGGCAACGACGGCTGCTGTGGTACTAACGTTGAACGTGTTGTGACCATCACCTCCAGTTCCAACGATATCGACAACAAAATCCGTGTCTCCATCTTCGATATCTGCTTGTAACGCCCGTGCCCTTAATACTTCAGCAGCCGCAGCGAGGGATTCTGGGCGTCTTTCCACTCTTTCTATGTGGAGGGCAGCGAGGAATGCACCTACTTGTGCGGGAAAAGTAGCATCTGGGGTAAAAAGGTGATGAAGTGCGAGTTTAAGGTCTTCCGGAGTGAAATACTCGGGAGTCTTGACGAGCTTTCCTAGTAGGAGTTTGAAGGAATCGGGAGTATATTCTGTCATGTGGTAATACGTACGTTGCACCAGACGCCCACACACACAAACAATACATTATGTAAGATCTGATCATAAATGCATAACACATCACATCACGCCTGTGGCGCACGAACTAGTCTTCCAGAGGCTATGATCATAAGCGAAATATATTTATTCTGCGTGTCTATCATGCCCTGACCCTGCTATCTCTGCCTCTCTTCATGTTGGCAGCTTCTTCCAAACCGACGGAAGAAAATTGGTATCCATCCAACCTTCTTGCATATAACGCACTCCCGGCTCACCAAGCCTTTGACTCCCCAATATCTGATGCGAAGTCCACTGCTGATACTAGAACCGATTTCTACGACCGCAGTCTGACGAGTCGCAGATATGCCCTTATCGGAGTGGCATGTTCAAGTATCTTCAGCTGCATATGCATTACCGCAGGTACTGTAACTTTAGCCAATCACGGAATCGCGGGAGTAACCCCGCTCAACATGATGGATTGGAAGGGGAATACCAGAAATCCATGGTGGCTGCAATTGAAGATATATCCCCTGATACTCAACTTAATTGTCACATTATGTACAGAGTCCATAGGCTTCGTACACGGCATCTCATTGCGCTCTGCGCTAGCCTCAGAGTCTCGGCTTCGTTTCAACACCAATCTGCGCCTTCTGACCGCAGCTCGTGGATGGTATAACCCTAACGGTGTCCTGCTTAATGGTATCTCGGCTGTCCTCCTCATTATATCTTACAGCTCGGCCTCATTCATCATATATCTGGACGACCAATTGACCATGCCAGTCTCCACAGGCGTCGCCGTCGCCGGGTTTCCTCTCCTTATCTTGGGCGTCGCACTCCTCCTCCAAGTGATGATCGCATTGTCAGGAATGCGAGCTGTCAAAATCATGACGTGGAGCTCCTCACCTTTCGACTTGACCGCCGCGCTGCTCCATCACACGCAATTGACCCCTGATCCTTTCCGGTGCATGCGTCGTGTGTCTGACCTAGACACATATGGAGGTCCAGCGAAGCCACCAGAGACACAGCCCTCTGCGTGGCATGCTCACCCTAGCATCCGGAAAGTTGTCATTTTCCTTTGGGTAATTGTTGTAGCATGCGCTGTATGGGCCGTACTCGTCATGTATTTCTCGGACCTCTACGGTCTTCCGCTGACCCTACGGACGTGGTCGTTCTTCCAGAACGAGCAGTCCAAACTCGTCTCGTATTTCTCATATTTTATGACAGATGTCAATCTTGAGGCGTGGACTCTGTTCTTTGTCAACATCGCAGTTGTCCAGGGACCGTTGACGCTTATGTTGCATTGCTCGGAGCTCATCGTGAATGTCATTCGAAACGAAAGACAGTGGAGATGCGCTACCGGAGGGAAAGGACTCAGAGTGGCGACGAACCCGCTGGAACCGATTTTGACTCATACGATCTGTCTCATACTTTTCTTCGCGAAGCCTTTCCTGCGTGAGTCATTCACGCTTGGTATTTTGTTGTCAGTGTTATTGAACACTATCCTCGACGATCACAGACTGGATGTTTGCGCTTTCATTCAGTGTATCTTTCATAGCCTTTGACGAGATTGTATCTGTTTTTTCTGTATATATGTACACCGCCCAGGTTCGCACTTACTGCCCATGTAAAATTTTATAACATTCTCACATTTTTGCAGATCTGGAACTTATGCATTGCGCTCGTTATATTTGCCTGTTTCTTCACTTTCGTCGCACTGCGCCGACCGTACGGTCCCCAGCCGGCTGCATATGGCCATGTCCAGACGCTCGCCAACCTCGTGGATGAGTGGTCGCCTGTGATGTGGTGGGGACACAAGGAGGATGGAATTCCGTACTGTCATGCTGGTGGGGCATTTGTACTATACTCACGGTGATGCTGTATTGACACTTCTGAAAAGGGACGAGCGATCACCCGCTACCGGACGTGAAGATGGACTGTGTTTATGCTGGTTCCGGTGCTAGGTCTCCGGTATCCCCCTCATGAGAGGTACTTGCTTTGTTTACTTCTTGACTTTTATTTTTAAACAGAGAAGCTATATCCACGCCAGGCTAGCAATGCATTTACGGTGCACACGACCAGTCATGTTGTTGAACGAGACATACAATTTTTATGCTGTCTGCTGTGTTGTAGTTGGTTCATATCGTTCATACGAGTCTGGGACAACTTTTAGCAGAGACACGTTCAATTTGACCCTCAAGGGGTTGTTAAATCATTGTAATTTTGGTAGTATGCATTGTAACAACTGATCAATTATGCATTGCATCATCAAGCTACGCATGCACGAGCTTCCGTGCTTCGAGAAAAGACATTGAATGAGGCGAGAAAATACATGACGAAAACTTGGCCCAGAACTTGCAATCTACTTCGGAACTCAGATTAATACCATAAATAAAGATAAAAGCAAATTCCCCAACTCTTTGTAGAGCAACAGACAGCCCTTCACACACTACTGCTAGTTGATATATGCACACGCTCCTGGAAAGCAATTGAGACCATGCCAGTTACTGTGTCGGAATCGGCCACGAGATATTCTCGAACACTGAGGATCAGGCGGGGTCCCAGCACAAACATCTGCACGACTGAGAAAACCTGAAGAAACCCATAATAAAGCTGAGCTTCCAGGGAATATGCCTATAGAAACGATTAACTGCGTTAGCATGCAGAGGTAAGTAAAAGATTGACCTACCGTTGGAGTGAATTCAATAATGAGCTCGAAGCAAGAAACAACAACAAAGCTACACGTCCAGCCCCTCAGTGGAAAAAAAGGAATAATAATGACAATACGAGCTTACCTCGCAAAGTAAACCATGTGAGTTTTCATCAACACCACGAAACAGTCCCTGATAATCCCTCCTGCCGAATGTTGTCGCAGTTCACGGAAGTGTTTTACCGCAATCCAGACTGCGAGACACAGTGCTAGGACCTCCCACACAATGGAGAGTACCCAAGCAACAGAATTCAAAAGTAGGATATCTTCCGGATAGCCAAACGAGCACTGATGGGTGCCGGAGAGAATGAGTTCCTCTGGTATTCAAATATTCATCATTGAGCCCCATGCACGTTTATTTGTATCCACAATTAAGCGTACCTCCTGAACCATGTATTGTTATCATCATGGCGTCCACTCCGTCGAAAACGTTGACAGCCAGGAAGGTGACAATGAGAAATATCAGGATCTTTCTGGATCCTTGATACATGGCATGTAACCGAGTGATGATGATGACTTGCAGCATGTTTCAGTTACTTCAATATCACTGAGCCGCAAGTGCTAAGCTCACCCCACAACATTGCAAATACCACAACATTCATCCAAATCCATACAGCGTACATAGTCCAGCCTGAGGAATCTAGTGAGTGATCGGCTTCGGGTGGCACGCACTCCAAACAGACTCACATCTGTAGCCGTATAGCATGGTGGTCATTATAGTGAACCAAGAAGTTAGTAAATACCACACTCACTCCTACAGGGCAACACGGTTAATTGGATGAAAATAGCAGGCATCTGTACAGAATACTCACTGTATCTGTCAGCGAGATGGTCTGAAGATTGACTGTGTGCCATTGGTCAGAAGTAGAGACAGTGAATGTACTAAAGAGACATGCTCAGCATGTACAGGCTGATTATGAGGGATAGCAGATTAGCACGACACTGATAGTTTAACCTTCCGAACTTACGCAGCATATAAGATCCCAAGGTAGCGCACCTAGGATACTTTCAAGTCAGCACAACATGACAACCGTGACAGGCAAGCTACAGACGCTGAGATACAGAACTGTCATTAGGGACCAGCGTTGCCTCTGTAATGAAGATTAAGTGTATCTTCATGGTTGATCTTCTGACATGAGATTCTACTTACCCAGATCAGTTCGACCTATAAAACCATTCTTAGCGAGATGGCTGCTCCGATTATAGTATTGACATACCTCTTGTCCGAGTGTAAGTGCTGAAAACACTTGTAAGATATCAGCAGTCCTTTAAACGCTCTTATGCTCACCCCAATCATATGTCACTCCAACGAAAGCGGCAGCTACGAAACCGCCGTCGAAGTTATTGAGACATCAGCTTCAACATCTGACTGTAGTCCACGAACCTGTAAAATAGCTGGAAAAACGATATGCATTGATGGTCGGCCACCAAGTGGGATCATTTGAGACTATAGTCATATCGGTAGAGAATTGGAATTGGTGTGGATGAGAGAGGTGAACTTGGTAGACGCATGACATAGAACATTCGCGCTATATGTACTACATATACCACCTTGTTAGTACTACTAACCAAGCAACCGAAATATAAGGTATTTGTAAACTTTACGTACTAGATGTCACGATTGCATAGCAGATGCGTGGGCTCCACTTCCAAGGAATTCGCTAACGCCTTCTTCCTCAGTCATCGGGCTTTCGTATCATAAGGACGTCAATTACATAAAATGGTTAGTGCAGGATAGGGAAGTCTTGTTTTTGTGTTTTTCACGATTTGAAACGGCGCTTGGAGCCACTTGATACGACAGTACTATCAGTATCGATCGCGGGACACCTAAGCATTAAACGAACAAAACTACGAAGCTTGCCTAAATTCAAGGCTTTTGAGTTGTGAGGGAATATTCGGTAAGTTCCAAGTTATTGTTATTTTTCCAAACAACGTTCAGAACGTGCCAGATCTTGTATTACTTATATAGAAATTCACTGTGGGAAGTAAAAACACTGGAAATCCGTGTTTTAAATACTGAAAGTCAGGGTCCAAAACACTGGCTTTCACGATTTTGTATCTTTGAATCGCAGTCAACATCAGAACCAGAAGATAAGATGTGCAAAATTTCAGTGTTTAGAACAGTGAAAGTGACATTTTTCAGTGTTTTCAACGCTGAGATCGGATTAACAACAAAGATCGTGATACTCCTCGAAACACTGAAAAACACCATTTGCAATACTGATAATTATGAATAGGATTACAATAGACTAATTTGAGAGTGATACAAGACGCATGGGCGGTCAAAAAAGATAACTAGCTTGCGTCCAGGATCCGTGAAAAGAGTCCAAAGCGAGAGCATATCGAATAACAGGAGTACAAGGCGTATGGCTGCCGTTGCTTCAAACGCAGTGATCGAGTGTCAGGGAAATGGTATTGACTCTTGAGCGCATCTGGATTGGTTTGTAGGATCTGCCGGGACAACTCAGATGAGAGCACCGCACAATGTTACGCACTTGCCCTTGTTGAGCACAGCTGAGCCTACAGTGGAGTCGCCGGAGAATGAGTTCTGGGACAAGCTGGGGGGTGAGAGATATAAAGAGTAGACAATAGGGAGCAGGTGATGAAGCTCGTACTGACGAAAACACCACTTATAGTGAGGAGGACGGTTGCCTTTTTGAAGCATATCAGCGTCGTCTGGAGCTCGCACAAAATGAACGCAAACGTGCGAGAATGTCGCCGAAACTGTCGGAATACGAACAAGAGTGAACATTAATGTCAAAGAACACAATGGACGTGAAAATTGACTCACCGATTCAGACCAGTGTAAACCACGGTAGACAAGCAGATATATGCGGCGGCACACACAAACATGCAGAGAGATGCGACAGTTAGTGGCGGCAGGCGCAGACGAGCAGGGACAAGTGCGAACAAGCGGAAACACACACGGACAAGTGCAAAACATCCATTGGTAGTGAGTCAGTGTTGTTGGACTCAGTCGTACATGATGACTGTACGAGCACAGGAGTAAAAGGATTAGTAATACATACATAGATGAATAATGTAGGGAACACCGACTTACCCGGGAATAGCCGGAGCGGTGTCGATTAGTAAGCACAGCACGGAGAACAGACAAGTCCGTTTTCATATGTTTCGGATCGGACGCATAGTATTAACCGTTTAACAGTATATATATTGTACGAAGTAGTTACAATGAATTCAGCCTTTTTATCAAATATTCTACTCTAAAACATCTACTCTAAACTACAGATAACTACAGGTTATGAGCCCTGCTCCGACAATCATGGATAACACGCACCACAGCAGCTCCTCATTGTACACCATCCCCAAACTTGCCGACGATGGCTCGAATTGGATAACCTACAAGGAAAGAGCGTTAACAGTGATCCGCGCACGAGGATTGATGCGATACCTTGATGGTCGAATCAAAGAACCTACCCCATACAAGACCAACTCGGCTGGAAAGTACGAAAAGGCTGATGGCACGGTAGCAACTGAAACAGAAGTAGAAGAACTTGAAGAGAAGATAGATGAATATCTACAGAAGGACTCACTCGCAAAGCAACACTTATTTAGCACGATCTCGGATCAGCTATTGTTGCGCGTCCAGCACCTTGGCAACGCCTCGAAGATATGGTCCGAAATTCGGACAATACACGAAGGCAAGACAGAATTAGTTCAAATAGATCTGCGCCGGAAGTTGCAAGAATCAAGATGTGAGGAAGGAGGTGATGTGAAGACTCACTTTGGGGACATGTTTCGCATCCGCGAAACGCTAGCAGGCATGGGGGCGAGCATAGAAGAAAAGGACTTCTACGCAATTATAATGGGATCTCTGCCAGAATCTTACAGACCCCTGTTATCGTCAATCAATGCGACAGCCCGAATCACAAAGCAACCACTCACCCCATACGAGCTAGTCAGTGTCGTCTCTGAAGAGTACGAGCACAGACAACTAGCAAACCCAAAGACCTCAAAGAAAGGAGGCAACAGCGCATTCTCGGCCAAGGACAGTACGAAAAGGAATCGTACAAGCACCGCAAGCAAGGATGTTACGTGTTTCAACTGCGAGAGGAAGGGTCATTACAAAACCGATTGTTGGAGACCTGGAGGAGGGAAAGAAGGTCAGGGACCAAGGCAAGGTGGAAAGGCGCCAACACAAACGGCTAATGCGGCAGACAAGATCGAAAGAGCAAATGATTATGCTTTTGTCACGTCAGATCTAGCAAATGTGGCAAAAAGGATCAACATACCTGCCGAGAGACAAGGAGCCATTATCGATTCGGGCGCAACGTCCCATTTCTGCCCAGACCGCTCGAAGTTCATAACATTCACCTCCATCGAAGCACAAGATGTGCACACTGCAGATGGTTCTACCATCAGCGCCATAGGAAAAGGGGATATAAAGATAGACCTACCTTTGGGAACAAAGAAGACCACTGTGACTCTCAAAGACACCCTATATACGCCAAAGATGGCATTCACGTTAATATCGGCCAACAGAATCGCTACCGCCGGTTTCGCATTACACCTCGAAGATAACATGTGCAGGATATTGACCCCAGCACCAGAGCGAAGACCCATAGCCGAAATTCCTCAAATAGAAGGACTATATCGAATCGCGGCATCAGTGACCCATAGCGCAAACTCAGCAATAACGAAACATACCATCGATGAATTACACCGAGCATTGGGACATGTATCCCACGAAGCGATCACAAATGCTATAAAGAAGGGCATGATCAGAGGTATAACGTTAGATGAAAGTTCAAACCCTACCTTTTGCGAAACGTGCGCAAAGGCCAAAGCCACTCGACAACCATTTCCAAACGAGTCAAAGACCAGATCATCCGCATATGGGGACCTCGTCCATACAGATCTATGGGGTCCGGCACAAACCGAAACGATAAACGGATGCCTGTATTATATCACCTTTACAGATGATTTTAGTCGGGAAATGAGGGTAACATTCCTGAAGAGAAAGAGCGATGCACTTACCGCATTCAAGGAATACGAGGCTTATGTAAGCCGACAATATAATGCGCGTCTGCGCAAAGTATGGTCGGATCGAGGAGGAGAGTACCTAAGCAAGGAGTTTGATGAATATCTGAAGGAAAAAGGAATAAAGAGACAACTCACCGTGCACGATTCCCCACAGCAGAATGGTGTAGCCGAAAGACTAAATCGAACATTAGTCGAACACGCGCGAGCCATGCTACTCGCAAAGGACCTACCAAAGTTTTTATGGGCCGAAGCCGTCAATTACACAACATGGCTCAAAATCGCCTACCTTCGAGGGCGATCCCAGGATACACGTCCTATGAATTGCTACACAAAGCAAAACCAAGTTTAGTAAACGCACGGGAATTCGGCGCACGACTCTATGTGCACTCACCAGATGGAGGAAAGCTCGAAGCTAGAGCAGAAGAAGGTCAATTTGTGGGAATAGACGAGGAAAGTAAAGCTTACCGAGTATACTGGCCGAAGAAGAGAAGAGTATCTGTCGAACGCAATGTTAGCTTTGTCCCGCCGGACGTCATCGTTCGTAACGACATACTGGACGAGGGGGAGTATAACCAGGAAGAACAGATCAACATACCGAATATCGTCCAGCCCGTCGCAACATCCCAAGTCCCACAAACACCAAGCCAACCTCCCAAAACGCCACCCCAGAGTACACAGCAACTTCCAGACCCAATAACGCCCAGAACCACGAGAGTACGACCCCCTGCAGGATACTACAAAGCGTTAAATGAAGGAGAAAGAGCAACCATAGCAATGGAAAACTCACCGGACAACACTCAATCGAATTCTTTTCCATATATGGCCATGGCAGCCGCAGAGAAGGAACCGACGCTTAGAGAAGCGTTAAATGGACCAGACGCAGAGGAATGGCAACAAGCCATAGACTATGAGATTGGTCAATTAGAGAAACTCAAGACATGGGAAATTGTGGACCCACCTAAAGGCGCGAATATAATACCTTGCCATTTTGTCCTAGCGACAAAGCGTGGACCAAATGGCGAGAAGGTAAAGCTGCGTGCGAGACTTGTCGCAAATGGTCAGCGCCAAGAGTACGGCGTAGACTATCAAGAAACGTTCGCACCTACCTCAAGTATGACGACAATTCGTACTGTCCTAACGATGGCAGCTAAGCACAACTGGGAAATACATCAAGTCGATGTTAAAAGTGCTTACCTCAATGCCAAGCTCAACGACGACATATATATGCGCGCGCCGCCAGGATACTTGAACGAAGGAGACGAAGGAAAGGTATTAAAGCTATTGCGTAGCTTATATGGCCTAAAGCAGGCCGGTTTTGAATGGTCCGAGGAGCTAGAAGAATTTTTCCTCAGTAACGACTTCACGCGCTCTCAAGTCGACCAAGCCGTATACTATCGACAAGCCGAAGAAGAACATACCGTTATCACCGTTTCCGTCGACGACATGGCCGTCACATCAAAACACCTAAAGCACATCCAAAAGTTCAAAGATCAGCTTTGTAAACGTTTTGAGATTTCGGACCTAGGAGAGCTTACCTGGCTCCTAGGACTAAAGGTTGAAAGGGACCGAAAGGCGCGGACCATAATGTTGTCGCAAGAAGCATACATCGACACTATAGTCGAGAGATTCAGGATGAAGGATGCGACAACGTCGCAAACACCAATGGAAACTGGAGTAGTTCTAACGAAAGAGTCATCAGACCATTCACCAGACACCAAACCTGAAATACCCGAACAACACGTACCGTATCAACAGGCCATTGGATCGCTAATGTATGCTGCGACAAGCACACGTCCGGATATAGCCTTCGCTGTTTCGATACTCTCGCAGTTCATGCGAGAGCCAGCTAGTGCGCACTGGGAAGCTGCTAAACGAGTCATACACTATCTAAAGGGGACAAAGAATTCAAAACTTACCCTAGGAACCACAAATCAAGGTTTAGAAGCGTTTGTAGACGCTGATTGGGCGAGTCAGCCCCATCGACACTCAATATCGGGCTATATCGTCCTGTTGCACGGATCTCCAGTAGCGTGGAGCGCGCGAAAGCAGTCGCTAGTTGCTTTATCAACCGCCGAAGCGGAATATATTGCGCTGACGTCGGTAGCGCGCGAAATCCTATATCTAAAAAGTCTCATCAGTGAGCTATACGAGCCGATGGATGAATGTATCCCCACCTACTGCGACAACCAAGGAGCAATAGCGTTAGCATCAAACAACAAATTCCGCGCACGCACCAAGCATATTGACATAAGGTATCATTACATCCGCGACCTTGTCGAAAACGGCACCATCCAACTCCAATATTGTCCGACGCTCGAAAACGTTGCGGACACTTTTACGAAAGCACTGCCGGCACCACGGTTTAGGGAATTGAGAGGGAAGATGAAGGTGGACTGTGCTCGAGGGGGAGTGTTGGACTCAGTCGTACATGATGACTGTATGAGCACAGGAGTAAAAGGATTAGTAATACATACATAGATGAATAATGTAGGGAACACCGACTTACCCGGGAATAGCCGGAGCGGTGTCGATTAGTAAGCACAGCACGGAGAACAGACAAGTCCGTTTTCATATGTTTCGGATCGGACACATAGTATTAACCGTTTAACAGTATATATATTGTACGAAGTAGTTACAATGAATTCAGCCTTTTTATCAAATATTCTACTCTAAAACATCTACTCTAAACTACAGATAACTACAAGTGTGTGTACACTCGAAGCCATGGCCCGAGCAGATCAGGTCCATTGCGGCGTGTGATTGGAGTCGGACATTTGCCAGCCATCAGCTGAACCACAAACCGAATGCGGTGTCTGGTTCCCAACTTATGGTCCAACTCTGGTCCAAATCCATGGTCCTATTTGGAAAGATTCGAGTTCGAACCGAGGTTCAGAACCAGACTGCAGCAGCACTAGTTGAGGGTGTTTGGGTTTGGGAGCGCAGCTCAGAGGGGTGTGTGGGAGTGAAACGGGTACGCACACATTGAAATCTCTTGTCTCCATCGTCTTTCCGCCCAAAAGTGCCCAGAATTCAATGAAGAAAGCAGTCATGACAGACCCTTGTGCCTTTGAGTGGCTATATGCGCAGTTATAGTGAGTATATGCGTCAAAGTTTGGACTTGTCCACCTTAAAATAAGAATAAACGATCATTATGCACCAGTTCCCTCCTTTTGAGAGAGGCCCTGGGAGTCCCATAACACAAATTGCTCATTAGGTGAGTGCTTACTCCTAGAGGCACTGTTCAAGATGAAGTGTTGGGGAGAAACAGAGTATAGCCTGAGTGTATAGTGCTTAGCTGCGAGAGCATGCTCAACTCACCTATTGAACTTCTAAATGGCTTTGTTTCTGGTATGGTGGATGGAGAGGCGATCAATCCAAGGACGATTGTGAGGAAGTCCTTTGTTGACGTGTTGTTTGTATCTATCACGTGCCATATGTGTTTGCCCAATTTGGCAGTGGCATGCCTCAAATGTTCAGACGTCTCAGCGGCGAATTGAGGCGCAACTCAACACAATAACAAAGACCTAGATGGGCTGAAAGAATAGACTATTGTATAAGTACACATATAGTAGACATTCAATAATACCTGAAAGAATAGACCAGCACGACGTTAGAGGAAAAAGGAGAACTCGATGAGATCTAGAATGTGACACTAAGAAATCATGAAGCAAGCGTGGGTAAACAATGGCCGCGTGTCCCTTGACCAAAGCAAAATCAAAGGCACGTCCCAAACCATGCACTTGATACCAGAAAACTTAAACTCCTTTACGAGGATGGAGATCATGTGTAGAGGCACGGTCATGGAGAATATCACCAGTGCTTTAGACGCTGAGAAAACAAATCAGCGTTTTCCCCACTGAAAGTACCGACACTGAAAAGATTGGTTTGATTAGTCAGTGTATTTAGTACTGATTGACATGATGGTCACGTGGACACTGAAAATAACTGCTGCCTTTTTCAGTGTCTGCGTCATTGATATTTGTCATCTAGTGCTTTTTACATTTATTTTCAGTGTTTTTACTTCCCACAGTGAATTTGTTGAACTTTGTTCCAGCTTCGTCCGATCGACCGATGGTGCTCGGCTTTGGGTTTGGGTGGATTCGGCTATGCCTAGAGTGTTAACTCTTCGCAAGCAGATGGGCGTGAGACTCGGAGGTAAACAACTTGTTAACATGGGACAACGCGGAGGAGGGCCGGTACAAGCTTGGGCTACATAACACACCTATTACTAGTACTTGTGCTCAGTAGTTGTTAGGAAACAATATTGAGGTGTTGACATGGGACACGACGATATGAATGATAACACTCAGTTAGCTAATTGATACCAGAGGAGCAATGATTCACATGTGTCAGATGGAACGAATAACTAGTCAATTTCACTTCTGAAAGGTTGAGAGGTATTACAATTCAGTTATAACTCGCTCCAGGAGCCATTCCTTCATCGCTGGGTCAAATACGACGACGGGAACTTTCACTTGACTAACCGTGATGTTCGCCTGCTCGCATTTCTGCCTATGATATTCTGCAAAGGTGCCTTTGTTCACGATACGGATGGTAGGCCTTCTTGCCTTGCCTTGCCAAACAACGAGGCTGTAATCATCGCTTGCTGAGATAAGATTTTCAAACAGTTGATTTATCGCCATTCTCGCATTCTGTCCTGTGAATATCAATCAGTATGCAGCCGCGTGAATGATTCGGATTTTGAAGCAAGCACGAACTTAGTTCCCCTGCAAGCTCTACCAAGTACCCATAAGTGACAGGCTTATCTCGATCGTCCAGCACAATGGTGAAAGCTACGATCTGGCCGATCGATTGTTGAGCGGCAGAGACGATCGCATCCGTTAACTGCGACTCTGTACATGATGCTCTAGATGCCACTCCAAGCAAGTCACTTCCTCGCTAGGCACTTCAGCTAGGCCCGAAACTGATGACATCACAACTCACTCTCGCCTATGAAGGTAATTGATAATCGGTAGGCCGTCATCTGGGGCAAAGCCTTTAACGGTGATAACATCAGCAACGCGATATCTCCACAAGCCATTGCGGGTCGTCACGACGGGCTCGTAGTGCCCACCAGTTACGAGTTCCCACTGAGGGGGGATGAGAAGACAAAGATAAGATGCAGTCAATAACTCCTACAGCGGACAATACACGGCCTGAAGGCTCGTTGGAACGCACGTCCAGAAACTCGACGACCCCATCTCTAAACGTCACCTTGAAGTCAGTATTAGGGTTGCCTTCAGGGTATACCCTAGCGAGACCGCATTCTGCAGTACCATACCCATGGGACTTGATGGTAATGGAAGGTCCGAGGAAGTGAGTAATCTTGTGTCACTGGCTATCAGTTGAGTGGTAAACCTTCCACACTTGACGTGCCTTTGGAACAGGAACAGCAGCCTGACCTCCAGTGATCCCAACGAATTGTTTCAAGTCAGGCCACACGCAGACTGCCCAGCCCTGGATGACAGGAGGCCCGATTTCCCGAAGTTCAGCAGCGCGAACAGGGTGGGGAGTAAGATGTCTCTGAGAAAACTTGTGAGCTCGATGCAATGCAATGGTCAATGACAATATGACCTCTAAAGGTGCTCGCAGATCACCTAGGTCTTCAACATCCGGGATGATACCCTTTTCGATGCATTCGACAAGTAAAGTCCATTCATCTTCCACGTACTGCAAAAAAATGACGAACACATTGGCAAATAAGAACCGGATGGTTGTCACTCGACGGTCCGCCAGTGCAAATAGCGCATTCAGAATAAATAAAGTGCGATGGTTTTTAACCAAAGATATCGCATATGGTTCCGTTCTTCCCGGAACTAAAAGTTGCCTAGAGATCAGCTTGCATGAGGATATTGGTGCCACGGGCTTACCCCACAGATCGAGTCTATTCTTATCATGCTCAACGTCCCAGTTCATTCCCATTCGCAAAATACCGATGCTCGTAGAGCAGACAGCTACATCCTTGGAGCTCTGACCATCCTCGCAATCTATCTTTAAGACTTGCCGATGTCTCAAAGAGAATGGTGCTAAGGTGGTACCATCTGACGGGAAAAAACCCTGATACGAGGATTGCTGTAAAAGGTGCAGGGGAGGCCGATACTTTGGAAACAACTTTGGTGCGTTGCTAGATGCCATGCTGGTCATGGCTAAGAAGTAGGGCAGTCCCAGGGCGAACATGTTCTTGACGTCAGCCTCCATGCAAGGAGTCGCCAAAAACTTTGCTATAAACGGCCTATAAGGTTCGTAGTTTGTGATGGGAATGAATTCTCGGAAGCTGCGTAGGAAGTTGATATCATCCTTCGAGTCGCTCTGCGCGATGGCCTCGCGGAACCCCGCTAATTCGGGAGCGCCCTGCGCAAATTGAGACGCAAAGTTCGGCTGTATGATCTCCAGTAGGATTTTATCTATGCGATCCTTGAGCTGCTGAGAGAGCTCAGTAGACAAAGAATCTAAGAGAACTGTTTGACGATGAGACATTGTTGTAGTCATCTCGTTCAACCAACAAGGTTAATTAATTGTAGTGTTGCGGGCAGAACACTTTGGAATTATTTTTGCCAGCAGACCTGGCAGAATTGGAAGAACTCTGCCCTGCCAGCATGGCATTCAAATGGCAGAATAAATAAAAGTGTTTCATAGATACTAGAAGTGATGTTGAAGATCATACGACGCCATTTTTCCGGCACCCTGATGCCACTCCGAGTCAGTGATCTAACATGTGCTGGCAAACCAGGAGGGGCCCACAGCGAAACATGGCGCATCAGATAGTAGCACTGAGTAGCAACCTAGTGGCTAGTTGCTGGGATTGCACACTGCCAACACAGTTGCAATCGACTCTGCATCTGCTGATGAAACGTGGGTAATGCATAACCACTCTCATGTGTCGTTTGCTGGACTGCATAATCTTCCCGTAAACTCTGTCGTCTCTTGATGGTCTACCAATCTGGGACATCCAAAGCCGCCTACGTATGCCAGTATCCTGACGGTCGATTACCAGGCCTGAATCAGAATGTTACCACACACCGTAGATTCATATGATCTGATTAGTACCACCAGTTCTATGTAAGTAGTCATTTGTACGAGGAATAAATGAATTCACACCAGACTTTTTTACAGCTCCATCATCTACAACTTTAGCCGCTCAATGAGCTGGTCATTGAACGCTCGGTTTGGGATAGTTCAGGGATTGGTTACGGCCTCAAGTTTTTTTGGAAAAAATGGACTAGCCGAGGCATGTCACGATCCGAAGAACCAATTCGCCGTGCGGCAAGATAGAAATACCAGATTATCGAGTTATCGAGTTATCAAAATCCAGATCAGTGATCATGATATGATCATATCATTGATAATATTGAAAATCATAGATTGAAAAACATGACTATGCCAGTAGAAAACTAAGTAAAGCTAGATATAATCTGCGTGCAGTGTGTGGTACCACTCTTTATCAGAGAATGAATTGAGATAAAAATCATCGTAGCGTTCAAGAGATGTCACTGAGGTGACAGAGCGATCCAATGTCGTTCCATAGATTGGTATCAGTTCTACAGCGTGTGTGACATCGACAAGGCGTACTATCTTCCCGATCCTTGTGCGAGAACCATCAGGCGCTGTATAAAACGAACGTCGAACTCAGTACATGGCAATGTGCGGCTCAGCTTCAGGGAGCGCAGTTACTTCGAATAGCTGAACATACAGAAAAGGATCCTTGAGCTGGACCGGCAGCTGCGACCCTCGTGTTGACAGTGCGAAAACCATTCTAACTTGAGCAATGCATGGCGCTAAAGCGATATCAGTACCTGGAATTGAACAGAAATTTGAAAACTTACTAGACTGCGGGTTAGCACCCGTAGGTTGAAGAAGGACAATATCGCAGTATCCATAAGGATAAGTATTGGACGGTGGAATGGCCTGAACCTGCTGGCTCGGCATGATATTACATGGACGGAGTCGAGAATGGAGCTGCAGTCTGAATTTGAACCAGACTTTGAGCAAGCGACTATGAAACGGCGAGTTGCGACCTGAGACACCATCGAGATATTGTGAAAGGATATGTGGAAAATTTGGGAGATGGTATAGTTGAGCAAGAGCGGTGGCAGAACGATCTGCAAGATCGTGGGCAATTGTAACATGGAAGGCAGCATTGGCTTCGTCTGAAAGTAGTCCCTTGAGAAAATGATTGCGAACAGGACGAATGGCTTGAAAACGTTGCATTTCCTGTGGCGCAACACGCGCTATCCAACTGAACGTCGGGTCCATATCAACGACTTCATCAAACTCGTCATCCATAACGTTGACGAGAGACATCCCCTGTTCACGAAGGAGGGCGTAGAAGTCGAATTGTCGCATCACGTCCTGGCGATGAATGATGTTGACAACCTGCTGAGTGAATGTGGCCCGTTGGTGACTTGTCCGTTGGAATGGTGTCTTGCAATGTGTGATCAACAGCCATTCACTGACATCTGCGGAATATTGGATTATGGCTCCTGATTTACGAATAGAACGTGCGAAGGAGTTGAAGAGCTCGAGTTTTGGGATCCGAAAATGAGCTATTGGACCAGAGGTTCCCGTGCGAGCCTGTGCCTCTAAGATGAAGTGTTTGTAGGTATGAAATTCGCGCAGGGAGTCAGACATGCTGTTAATGGACGAGTCGGTGAAGGTAGGAGCCTGTGCTTTGTATATGAAATCTATAAGCGCACGGACTGCGCGAGTGAATCCAGGGGATGTCACACCCACAATAGTGGGGACAAGGGTTCGCTGGATATCGCGATGTTCACGTCCAGTCATCTGGTTAACATGAGAGACGCCATCAGTGAAATGACGTGTGCCAACACGTTTATGCTGGCTGCGGAACCGAGCATCCAGCTCATTAGCGCCTATCACCTCCTTGCACCACTTCAGTATGTGATCAAAGAAAAATTTGTGGCCTGTGTGCAGTATCTCGGGGACAAGGAAAACCGCAGGGTCAGCAAACTTCCAGTCACGCCAAAACGGTTTGTGAACGCCGCTGAGGGACACCTTCTTTGCTGCCTCCTGGAATTCCCGGAACTTCCAGGGATTGAAAACCTTGCCAATCTCATGCAGCTGCAGTAATGTAGACATGCCATTACGGGGAGGGTGTGTGATGCCGTCGTCAAATTGTGCAAGTGTGGCTAACGTTGTTGGTGAGACACTTTTCGAGACGCAGGAGATCATGAGTTGTTCAGGAAGGTCGGCAACGTGGGCGATGAGCGGCGTGAATGCATAGCGCTGGCATCCCATCGGGTCTACCATTAATTCACCCATATGAGAAGCGATCTTCAGCTTTTCGAACACCATGTCCATGCAACTATGCCAGAAGCATGCTTCCAACAATCCTGCATAATCACTATTTGTGATGTATTCCGGACTCGGGATATATGCAACACACTCCCATGCATGCGAGGTTGCCTTCATACGGATCTCAGAGTGGATGTTGCCGATTGTGAGAAACGTTGGGTGCATCTCAAGTGAGCCGGTGTGTCGAGTTACTGGAGTCTTGTCCGAAGCGAGAATTATAGGCACTATAGTTGCGCCGATTGGCAACTTATCCTAGAAATAAATCAATTTAGTTAGATGTGACCACATTGACGAGGATGTATTGAAGTCACTTACTTGAATTTCAAACGCGTGTTCACACGACATCCATTCTCCGTATTCACGCTCACCATCATCGTTTATTTCGTAAGGGTCGTATTCCATGTGGTTGGCGAAGATCGGATTGCCAAAGATATGGTGAACAACTTCGAGGGCATCTCGCCAGATGAGATTCACAGGATGAGTAGTCGCATATCCATCAGTATGCATGGGTGTACACCGCCATTGAGGAACCTTTGGTAATGCGTCCATGAATGTGAAGAGTTGCTTTGCGGTCTTAAAAGACAGTGGCCGCTTCGCCTCTGCGACCACCTGGAAGAGTAAAATCAGCCCAGCCAATGTGAATTGATTGACACGAACCCAGAGAAGCTTTAAAAACCTGGTAATCTGCCCCTGGTTCAAGTTGTCACATAGAAATTTTGCGAGCTCCCACTCTGCTCTATCTGAGAAGGGGTAATAGACATTGTGTTTACGCATCGGCTCGAAATCGTCCTGCTCCATCCGCTTGAATGTATTGGGCTGACCAAGCTTATGAATGTAACCTGACGAATGATGGAATCGCCCTTGTCGTGGCCGATCTTCTGATGCTTGGGGGATGCGGAATGCAATTGGAGGGGGGATCAATCGGTGAGAACATCCTGGATAGAGGTACTAGTAGTCAGCGCATTCAATTTTGGGAGTTAGTTGGCTATTTACCTGGATCATCAGAAAGATGAGCACAGATATCCTCTGCGCTGTTGAAAAGATTAGAGCAGATTGGACATTGGACTGCTTGGCCAAAACTACTATGTGCTGGTCAGTCTGACTGAATCCAAAGCGATATTACTTACTCAATGCTACTGAGTCGCTCAGCAGCATGACTGTCACAACCAGGAGAATTGTGTGGGTTCATAGCAGCAGTAATGCAGAGTGATGTTGGTGGACGGTGCACTGTGCACCGTGACGGTGTTGAACTTCCTAAGTCTTTCAAACACCGCTGCCACGCCACTTGCTCATACACTCACAGCCAGCCGTATATTTATGAGTAGATTCGCTGTCAAGACCCCTTCAAACCGTTCCTCGAGCCCAGCCAGCTCTCTTACCTGTGTGGACCTCTCGTCCTCGTTTCATAAAGACCACGCCGAATTCAAGGACATGGATGTCTTTGGCACAGTACATGAAATTTCATTGTCCCCCTCCCAAGCGCAACACTCTCTGGACCCTCCCTCTCCACCATCTGGCACTAAGTCCCCTTTAAACTTACCCAAATCCCCCGTGAAACCCAAATCCCCTACAAGATTCGAGCCATATTTGAAACGCAGGGCGACTGCAGCTGCCACAGCTGACTTTGCTATGAAATCTCTGCGAGGCCAGACTGCCAGAGAGATGAATCCTGGAGCCGCTCTGATGGTGAGTTATTATTTACTGTGCAGTGTTAATTAAATAACCGATATCGCATATACAGGCCAAAGATATCTTTACTCGCGGCCTTGACGATCTACCAGATGAGATGATACGTGAAGGTGCAAGGGCACAGTATGCTACTTGTGAGATATCCAGACACCATCTCGCTTCCTTGACTTGGGAGCTTGAAGCAAGCAGCCGCTGGACCAGCTTCCTGGACCTTGCTAGGAAGTTCTTGAAGGAGAAGCATGCATACTCCGAGAGAGATCTTCTGATCTGGGAACAGACCTGTACCAACCGTGGGGTGCAAGATATTTATGAAGACAGGCCCTACCACGAGTACGCAGCTACTGAAGAGACTCTTACATTATCGGTACTCCAGGAACAGGCTCGTCAGTTGAAACAGTATGTCGAGGAACGAGGCGTAGATGATCTGTCAGATGACGTAGATGATCTGCCACATGACGGAGCTGACTCTGATGGCTGCTGCTATGATTTACCCAAGTGGGGCAGTCCTACCTTGAGCCAGGGTATTACGTTCGAAGATTAAACACTGTGAGCATGAAACGTATCAGCCATCATTTCTCGTACTTATTTTCCGGTGATTGTTGAATTACATATTATTTCTCGCAGCATCATGATGTAGCCATGCTGTATACACTCTTCGTATGCGTTTTCTTGTACGTCTCATACCAAATCAGTATATCGTTATCGTTATCGCGATCATGGCCAGGCCATCAGTTCTAACTTCTCATGTTGACCACGATCAAGCCCTGTTCACGACCATCATGCCACCCAAAGCCACGCAAGCACCCAAGAAACCGAGACGTAAACAACCACAAAACTCGAGGGTAATGTTTCTGGTATCTTTCGGTGTCCGTCTTACTAAATCGTTGATGTAACAGCAAGTGCGGAGGCCTGCCAGAGGTAGCAATGAGAATCCGTGTTTAAATAATGATGAAAGTCAGGTTGGACGCCCTAGTGAACAAACCAACGATCCAACACTTGTGGACGACAGATTATTGTCGACTATGTATGAGGAGGAGATGTACTTGTCTGATGAAGATGGTCCAGAGGTAGAGCGCTCGCCATCGCCACACGATCAGCCCCCTCCTTTCGCGCAGCCTACCCACCAGCAGCACCTGCCTGAGCACAGCTCAGCCTACAGGCAGCCTCTGAACCACTCCTACCAGCAGCTGCCAGTCGGGCAGACTCATACCCACTATTCAACGCCCAGCCAGTCATCGAATCCTCTCTTCCAGCATCGACAACCATATCAACAACTCCCAGCGCACCAGCCGCAAGGTGGTAATATGTATCGATGTTTAATCGACGCGCCACCTCCTCCCACTGTGCGTGGTGCAGAGCGTCTCAGTAGCCGCCTGTGTGATGATCAGCAGCCCATGGAGTACCAGCAGCCGCCAGTCAGACAGGCTCATCCCCACTATTCAATGCTCGGGCAGTCATCAAACCCTCACCTCCAGCATCAACAACCATACCAACAACTCCCAGTGCACCAACCGCAAGGTGGTCACATGTTTCAATGTTCAATTGACGCGCCACCTCCTCCCACTGTGCGTGGTGCAGAGCGTCTCAGTGGCCGCCTGCGTGATGAGCAGACACGACCTATGCGCACGTCACCGTATCCCCTCCCAGGATTACGCAAAGTGTCAGTTTTTGGCCCCCGCCATATTGACGAAGGTTACCGTGGCCAGTGGCAGAACACTGGCGTTATCTATGTGAGTTGAGGTACATCTCCACCCCTGCCACTGATCTTACCTCGAACTAGGCTGGAGCAGATAAGAACGTTGCACCGAAACGCCCAACTGCCAGAGATCTTCCGCCCATACCGTTGCCTCCATTGGATATCACCGTCCCTGGTCCACAGCAGCCCACCCCAGCTCACCCTCATAATGACAGCGGTTCTTCCGGTCCACAGCAGCCCACCCTACCACACTCCCACCCAATCCAGTCTAGCAATGCAACACACTCTCATAACGATACCGGATCTTTGGACGCTGTTCCCCCCCAGCAGCAAGAGCCTATGCCCGTGCCTGCCGACCTGGTCAATGAGATCAGCAATAGCGCGAGGTCAAAAATGCGACGTTCAGTACTTTCAGACAATGGCATGCCCACGAACGAGGAGAATATTGCAATGGCGCGCGCTGCACTATCAAACGCTATTGCAACTCACGCAACTATTCCCCCTGGCCGATACTACCTCCCAGACGAGGATAAATTCATTACCTCGCTCACCAAAATCACGAACACCCTGCGAAATGTATTCAAAAATACTGCACGCACTGTCGTACTGTCTGCCTATGACCTCGAGCTTGACATATGGGATACATCTTGCGAAATCACACACAAGCGAAACATCGTGCCTATGCTCACCACACATTTACAGTGTTTATTCAAAATGCAAGAAATGGTGCGTCCTTTGTACAGATGCCTATTCATAGCAGTGTGTAGTATTGACAAGTAGCCAGACGATTGGTGGTGTTTTGAAAAATGTTCCAGTGCTCGAACACACTGGACTCATCCGCGTTGTCATGGATATTCTTTGGGTCAATGGCTTTTACAAAGACCTTGATCTCCAAGATCTTCAATCTCTTGATGGCGCCATTGCCCTCGCAGGTGCCGCAATTTGTTCGGCCATTCAAGAATATGAGATGGGGGTTTGGAAACGCATTGATTTTTCTACAGCGAAGTCAAAGTCGACATATACATCTATTAAGACGTATATGACAGAGACAATTTACACATGCGTTGAGCTTACAGAGCGTTTCCACTGGATCAAGGTGAATATGAAAAACCGTGGAGTATCGAGGACGGGCATTGTACTGTAGTGTATCATGTATCGTGCATTGTGTATCGTGCATCATGTATCGTGCATTGTGTATCGTGTATCGTGTATCATAGTGTATTGTACTATCGGGGCTTGATGATAATGCGATTGATAGGCTGATCTTCAAATCTTTGTCGATTATCATAATCAGTGCGCTGATCTGTGCATATTCAAAATCTCCGTAGTTTTACCTCATTGCCAATAAGATTCCACCAATCGGCAAGCTGCATCACTGAGTCGTAAACGTTCGTAACACATCAAACTTCTTCCACTACTAAGCGAGAACTTGGGTGTTTTACAGATGATTATAATTCTTTTCCAGTAACCATTCCTTGATTGTTGGGTCGAATCAGACGACTGAAACCTTCACCTGACCCTCCGAGACATCTTGACTTGTATTGCAGACAGCGAGGCGGTCTTTGCATCATTCGGTATTATACCTTCATACTGGTCCTCTTGCAATAGCCCTGTGTCCACCGTTACTTGCAGCTTGCAGATAAAGTGACGAATAATACCACTAGACTGTCACAGTGAAGGATCAATGAGAGAAGTCGGCGTCAGCCTGCGAGCTCCTCCGAGCCACCGTCCAGCGAGGGTCACCTTTCAAAAACCTTGAGGAGGGAGTAGTCTGGAGTAGCGATGGTTGGCATATTATGTAAGTCAAAATAACCCCGGCCGCAGCCGCTTTTGACAAGCTTGCTTGGTACATCCTAGATCAGCATACTAACAACATTTGGTTCTAGTCCATCATTGCACGAGAATTGATTACCGGAGCGAGGCTTTTCATTTTCTGTGCTAAGCTCCACGTGGGCTTGAGCAAATTGGTCATGGCCCGGGTAAGCTCGGGTTCAAACGTCCAGCTGCTTGGCCATTGATTGACCTCCGTGCCATATGAACCTCCAGTGCTCAACGCTATTCCATCGCGAGAAAAATTCAGGGAGTAGACCCAATGGGAGTGGGCTATTTTGGTGAGTAATTCGCCAGTTTCTCCGTGCCAGACGATGGCCACTCTACCTTTGTCATCGCTTGCAATCAATTGTCCATCTCGTGATACTGCCAATCCCCGCACGCCATGTTTATGCCCCTTCATATTCTTCAACACAACACCTGTCTTCAAGTCCCACAGATGGAGCGCCCTATCGTTCGAGCCCACAACCATTCGTCGTTTATCGGGGAAAACTGCGACTGTCGTCACAGTCGCCCATGCCCAGGCTTCATGACCTTTGAGCTCTCGCAGGCGCGTGGTGGTGGTGATTGGAATGAGCCCGACATCTTCACTGGAGGTTATGGTGTTGAGCACGGTCGAAGTGAACCTCCGAGGGATAATAGACGTCTTTCTTCAGATGTGTGTGTTTTGCGGTTTAAAATATACATCACTGTAATTTGCCCTGTTTCGTTTCAATAGACGCGCGGGACACTTGAGGCTGTTCTCCTCCACGCCTCCATCACCGTTACAGCAAGAATGCACCCTATTATACCCGCTGACAGTATGCCTTCCCAGCGCCTCAGTGCATACATGCGCTCTATTCTTGTCTTCAAATCCAGAATATATCCAATCACATCCTATCGAGCAACCGGTGCTTCCCAGCGCTCGAATCTGACTATATGTCCTTTACGACCGCATGCATATGGCTTACTGCAATATCATCCCGCAGACTTCCAGGACCTGCTTGCGCACCGCATATCGCCGAAGTTCTCCCTCCTGGCGTCTCCAACTTGTCATTGATTCTGTCACGGAGGAGTGCTTTGCCTCCAGTGCTCTTCTCATGATTCATCTCTAGTTTGAGCCTCCCTCACTCCCGGTCCAACTGGATACGGTTCTCTCGTTCGCCAATTCCCTCACAAGTTCATCATCATTCGAATCCTGCACCATACAAGTACCAGTACAACATGGTCGCTAACCTTGATGAGCCATCACCACAGATGCTACGCAAGCCCTGTATTCAAAAGGATTGTAATTGCGGGTGTTTCGGAATGCCACATACCATGGAATCCATGGTCCCTACATGATTTTTGATTGACTCGTGACTATCCTTGAATTTGAATGTCTTGTACTACCTGCAGAAACTTCGACATCGACGGTCGCCTCCATGTTTCCAGTCTGTAGCGTGTAGCTCGTAGGGTAAATTTCTATAAACTTCAACTTTAGGCTTTGCAGCGTGACTCAAAGATCAACTCTGGATGTTCCTTGCAAACCTGAAACATGTGAGGGAGGGTGCTGAAGAGATAGGCTTATTGAGTAAGTATATGTACTACACGAACCACTATAAGATGCCGTGACAGCAGATTATATAACATCAGCCAGCGCAGATCAGACTCGGAGGCTCGGAGCCGTGCTTCAATATTTCGGCTTGGTACAGCTTGAGAATACTGGATTACTGGATATGAAGCCTTCTGATAGATCGTATTAGACAGTGCATTCATCCGCAGTACTCTGCCCCTACGAGCTGCGCCGCGGCAACACCGTGGCACCCGGGACCTGCGATACTAGTAACTGGGCAATTTGAATCTTTGAAACTTCACACCTAACACTTAACACACTTATCCATAAACGACGCTTGGGGCCGACTATCATTCATCTGGCCGTGATTCACCGCGACTTACTTTCAGCACTCTTGGGCAGAGTTTAATCTACCATGAGTCTGGACCAAAATCTCTTCACGCTCCTTCTAACACCAAATACCTCTGACTCGAGTGGACTCGTGACCGACCTCACCGATCCTTCGGGGAACGTACACTACCGCAAACGACGCATACCCGGGCAAGTCTATAAAATCGAGGTGTATGGTGCGTACGTGGCCGATCGAGACTGATTGAGCTGAGCCTGTGGCAGACCCCATTTCAGAATCCTTGCTCGCCTCTGCTACGTCTCCCAGCGCGACGAGTAAACATAAAACGATAGAATTATACAATCCCTCCAAGGTCATCGAGCTGAAATATACCGGCACCCTGTCTTTCCGATGGTCCTTCAAATGGGAGGAGTGAGTCCCCGAATCAAGTAGCTGTCATGCAAACTCAGTCACGTTATGACAGACACGAATTTGAGTGGAAGCGAGAGGAGTGTTTCATGATCAGAAAGCCCGACCCACCTGTTATGGTTGCGATCACCAAGGAGCCTCCGGGTAGAATAAAGACATCATCCGTCCAAATTCTAGATTACAATCTCAATAGGTGAGCTACAGATCGAACATAAGAGTTTTCGCGGCGTGACTGATGAGTGCAAACAGGTTTGATATAGATGATCGAAAAGGGCTGGAAATCGTCATCTTGACTGCATTGCTTACCTTTCAAGATGCTAGTGATCAGTATCACCAGTCACCCAACGACAACAACGCGACATCATCACCTGCTGCTCTTGCTACAGCTACTTCAGCTCTAAAATGCTTTACAGACAAGACTGCGCGAAAGGTGTCAGGCGGACCTACACCTTCTCCACCAGTCCCACCACCAAAACCCGCCCCAAAAACAGGTGTCGAAAGGGTTGCCGAAATCCAGGCATCCACTGGCAGAGGCGAAGTCAATGAAGTGTTCGTCATTGACGAGTGTTCCTTCAAGGATTACGCGCGATATTGTGCACGGATGCTGCAGGTGCGTTAGCGGTGCTCGCGAAGACAAAGACAGAATAACGAGTCCGATTTCAGGACGAAGCGATGCTTTTTATCTCCATACGCTCTGCAGGCGCATCCCAGGTTCCCAAAGTGTTGCAAGTAGTCGAAGAGACGAAACGCTTCCGACACAAAGCGGGTAAGTTTCTAGGCTTATGGCCGCTTCGTTTCCTCAAGCCGTGTAGGCCATGAACAACTTCATCAATATGTTCTGTATGATACGGCACAGATACCACGCAGGGGTCCGACAACTGTTAATCTGGACGACAACAAAGACAAAGCAAAGGGCAAGAATTATACTCCGCCGAGCAACATCGTAGTCCATCTAGGTAAAATCGATATGCCCGAGTTACAGCCGAGGAGAACTGTTCCCATACGCCCCGGAGAAGGACGGACAGGCGCAGCAAAAGAGCGAACAAAGGATGGGAAGAATAAAGATTCCCACAAGGACAAAGAAAAGAAAGTAAAAGAGTCAAGCGACAAGGAACGAAACGAAAGAAAGAAGCGTGAGACAGAGCACGCAGCGGCGAAGGCAAAACTTAGATCAAAATCTAGCGCGCCTGCACTCGCTTCTCATTTCTCTTCACATCAGGCGTCGACATCACAGCGGCCTCACATACATCCGCACCAAATGCATCCACACAAATCATCTCCGCCGCAGTCTAACCGGCCTGCCAACCATTCGGCTCCTCCACTGCCCCCCCGCATGCCGATGCCGCACCGTGTGGCTCAACCACCTAGTAACCGATACTCAACATACGGGACATACCCGGTGTCATACCAGGTCCGGTATTCATCCAGTCCTCAACGTTTAGAATCCACCATTTCTCCATCATCGCCGTCACCTTCCCCAGCCACAGTGCTGGCCAGATTACTCGGGAGGTGAACAGGTCGACCCTTACCGGTACAGTCGGACGATATATTGCAGCTCAGAATGCCCAGCTTTTCCAATCGCAATTTCAGACTCATATATGGACATGTATGTTTTAAACTCTGCTTGATACCTCACAATCACAGCCTCCTTCCCACAACACATATGTATGTAACTTATACGACCGTTGATAGTAATACGCCGTCGCTGACAGTATGAAAAATATACCACATCCGTCTCCCGGTGGGACCAACGACATGCTTTCGCTTCCGCACACTGCCTTGGGAGTGATTAAAGCGCCCGCGACATTCGTGTCCACAGTCGCCAATAATTGCTGAGAACCGCCCGGATCATGATCATTACGTTGGACAGCCAGCCGGTGAAGTCACGAGAGGTCCGAGCGTACCTAGATCGCCAAGTTCAAGGTTGTCTCATTGGTACGGCATGGCCCACAGTCATTTTGATGCAAATTAAACTCTGCTCTTATGCAACCCTGGTGTTCAAAACACGAGCCCATCTAGGCACGACCTGCTTTATTAGGCTTTATTGCTAGCCTTGGACTGCTGCACCGCATCGGATTCAAGCTGTTCCGTCGATGCCATCGATGTAACGTTCGTGGGCGCACCTCGTAGCGAGCGTATCCAGGCAGAGCATGCCAGTATAGTACTAGTGACCCGCGACGTGCGGAAACCTCTGGAGAATGAAAAGAGTTCGGAATTGATGTAGATTAGATGGCTATTTTCCGAGGAAATGGTAAGAATGGTCCAAAAGTGTGGATGAAACCGGTTTACCGTTCCGCAGGCAGGGTCTATTTCTTTTCGCGATGTCCATGTCTGACATGAATCAGCGCTGCGGAGTCTCAGACACAGGCACTGTCGCATTGCGTGGTGGGACTAAACGACGTACCGTAAGATGTCATACGTTGTTATGCTCTGTTCCGGGACATTTGTTACTGTACTATGTAGTAGACGTTGGTGTCATCGTCTTCTATATCAATTGCTTGGCATTGGGATGTAGTCCGAGCACAATGGAGGTAAATCCACCAACTGATGGGCCCTGTACATCCAGTAACAGATCTAAAACCAAGATACATTACTCCTCAATTGAGGGTCGTAGATGCCACAGCACAAACGATGGAATCAGAAAGTCAACATATCATGTGTGTATGGTCAATCGCTAACTGAGTGCATGTAATGAGTAGAGTACAAGTGTTGAATAATGAACATGAAAGAAGAAATTGTTCGACGGCGGTATACTAAAAGGCTGTGGGTATTCATAGATAATAAGTGGTCGTGTAGATATACGCACAAAGACGACACATCCTGTATGCTTGCACCGCAAGATATGATATCGGAATAAGAATGTTCTAGGATACGCGCAGCCTGAGGTGGGATTCACCATATAGAAGAGCTGCCTCATGAGACTCCGCCAATCTCGATGAAGCTCCGCCAATTCCACGATAGATCGTCGTCTTTCAGATCTATGAAGCTTTTGAGAGGAAACCATGTATCGACAGTGCTTCTTCTCTGGCGCTTCGGGGGCTTCGATACTGAGACTGAACGAGGCAAAGTGGCTTGTTTTTGGGAAAGATGTTTGGAAGGTGGGACGATCGCATCTCCTTCGTCTTCGATATCTGCAAACGAGCCAAAATCCTCGACTTGAATGAAGGGAGTGTTTCCCAGTGACGAAAGTGCCCTGGCTTCCTCTTCCTCATCATCGCTCATGCTCATGAAATTTTTTCTGAGACTCGATCTCGGGATGCGGTTAGCAGCACGGGAGCGGCCCTCGAGACATGCCAAAGCGTCCATGCGACTCTTTCGCCTTTGATGTGATGTGATGGACGAGGAACGCAGGGATGATCCCTTGCCTGAGGTGCTAGTGGGCGATAGCAGGGGAGTCGAAAAAGATGCGTTAGTCGCAGACGAAAGTGGCTTTCGTGGAGAGGAGCTCGGGGAACGATCGAGGGAAGTTGGGGGCTCGGGTAAGGTAGATGATACCGGAGCAGGTTTGGGAGAAGGAATTTGCCTCAAAGATTCACGGGATGATCGGTGGAGCGTACATGCGGAAGGTAATGGTGGAAGACGGGCAAAGGCGGGTCTTTGGATTCGTCTTTAGATGGGAAAAGTCAGTACGATGAGAGAATGAGAATAAAGGGTAAACTTACGACAAGTCATGAGCTGAAGTTACATCGGATGTATAAGTCCAACTAGTAGACTTTGACATGACTGACGGCTTGCGCCTGTGACGTGCAATCGGACGATTGGAGTCTGCCAGGTCGAGGGAGAGGAATGAGCGAAGTTCAACGGTATCCCTTTGTCCCATTTGAAGGGTGAAATAAAAAGCGGAAGCATGATCATCAGCAGCAGCAGGATGTGACTTGTAGGATGTGCCCGTTGAAGTTGAAGGGACAACCGGAAGGGCGGTGCTGTGTGCCGACGAGAGACCCGCCCGTCGCTCCGCTAGAAGGCCCAAAGTGAAAAGTGGGGAATATGAAGAGTGCATCACCGAAAAAGAGATAAGAAAAGCAAGTGTGCACGAAGACAAAAGCACGAGGGCACAGAAAACAAGAGCGTTGAAACAATCGCCCTTTATAATGAAAATGCAATGCGTCGTCACGAGTGATCGAATCGGGAGACTATATTTAGACCCTACCCCTTCCTTTGTCACATGTACAACCGAAATTATTATTTCACACGGACTACATATTATGTAACAAAGACGGCGCCGAGATCAAAGGCTTTTGGAAAACCATGATTATCAGACTACAGAACCTTTGTACCAAACTTTCATCACACTGTGTCCATTCATGTTATGGAAAAACATTCTTCACACTCGAGACACGACCCAAAATCACATCGGACAAACGTAGAACACCGATTTGCTTCCGCGGGATCTAAAGAAAGTCACCCCTGTAGACTCGCATGCATGTGCCATGCCATGGACACGTCTATCCTGAATGCCAAGCAGACAACACCATCCGGTCTTGGTAGTCCAAGGATCGAAGCTATGTGTATGACCCATCAATCATTCAGTGACACCCTTCGCCTCTGGATAAAACTGATTGGGAAACAGCCGAAAAGTTGCGCTCGTTGTACATACATGTGCCAAGTGCCGAGCCTACTCCATACTGGAAGTTATATTTTGCCTAAATCGAATCCCCCCTCGCAGTCGTTATGGGGATGTGTTCGAGGCAGCTATCTTCCACGTGCAGGGTTCATACGTATGTGATTTCATCACCACATAGCATCGCCTAGACTTGTTGATAGCGGCCTGGCAGTATTAATTATGATTGTGATTTTCATCTCAAATACTTATGTAACATACCGCTCATGTTTTGATGCGGAAAGCCAGCGTAGCACTCATTGTTCTGCAAATCTCCCACGCAATCCAGTATCCAAATCAGCACTGCCACCGCTTGAGGTTGCACGCGATTAACCGACCCGGCGACGCCCCGAACACAAGCGAGGTCATCTTGAATTTTACCACGTTCGTTGACGAGTCGGAGTACCATCACTCTTATTTGCAAAGTGCAACTCATGGCGTGTGATATACGAGTTCTTCCGAATCAATCATGCTTGACAGTCTCGAGGGCTGAGCATTCGAGCACTCGGATCTCCTATAGAAATGATCACGTACCTGTGCGTGAATCATGTAACCTCAGAAACAGATGAGCACTGGATAACCTGCCACAGAAGAAGTTGCCGCCCCCGGTACGCCACGTGGGAGGCGACATGGCAAGTCGTCTGCTCGGCTTAGATGACTTGTCGGGTCTCGCCCTCCCGTCTTTCGGATATCCTTTCTTCGTGTCGGCTTTGTCGACAACCGATTTGACTGCGGGTTTTCAACATTCTCCGATGCTTATGGATGTTCGACCGGAGTGACTCGGCCAGCCAGCAAACCCATATGTTACGATAGCAATATCGTCGGAAATTTGTCGCTTGGTTTTTCGTCGATCCGCAAACCTATCACACATCACCACACGTGGGTTTAACTATTTATGACCTTTGGATCAATCTTCTTCCAGTAGTCTATCTAGGCAGATACAGATGTCTCAATCCACCGTTGTCTCGAACGATGAGATTAAATCACCGTAGCTTGGCGATGACTTGTGCATATGAATTGTAACATTCCATGTTGCAACCCGAACGTGGAGTCGAGGATCCTTCAGGCTCCAGCTGACTGGACCTACAAATTGACCATGTATGTCTACCGGCGACTTGAGATTGCCTCGACGCCAACTCCATCCAGTTCCAAATCCCGTCTGACACGTGAATCTACCGCGTGAGTGCGCGTCAAGTTATTTTCAACCACATGTCGAGTTATACTCTTTGCCGTCTCGCTCCATGACCTAAAATATTAATGTCATGGCATGCGAAACACGTTCGCGACTCCGTCCGCTGTGGTTAACGCATCTCCTCGCGTTTCTTCACTCAAATCATCGTTTTCTTATACACAGTAACCAAGCGATGGCCGAATTTCACTTCAGGCCTATTAAACTCGATGTTCTTCGTCAGTGGATTCTGTTGTCTTGGTCACACTCTAGAACGATATCGAATGTAGTAATAGTCACCTCGATGAACGTTTGAACCATCATGCAATGTCCGATATACTCCGATACTGTATTATCGCTCCAAATCCAAATTTAATACTTCACAAGTGTCCAGATAAGAGTGCCACCCGACGGAGCACATCTCGCCAATATCGTCCGCGGGCTGTATAATACAAGCACCCCTGAAAATAGGTGTGGAGGCATTCGGACGAATTTCACTCAAAATTAGGGTCTACCCCAGGCAGGGTGCTCTCACTTTTTGGTCGACGCCTGGATCCTTTATCTAGACAGAACTTAGTGTAGCCCTGATGGCCGTGGTGGATCGGAGTACTTACTGGTACACAGAGTATGCCTGCCATTTTTTGACACTCTTTGCGCTGTCTCGATGTTTTTGGATCATCCCCACCACTTCATACTTGTACCTTTTCACGCTCCACGATTACCCTGCAGCTGTCCGCATAAAACCGACCAATGTGCTTATCCGCGAACATGAACCATCAAATGCGTATCAATATTCAGGGGTCCTGCTGTACTGACTTGTCTGATTGTCAGAGCCGCTCACACCCCACCGGGACTGTTTGTTACATTATAAGAAACTGTGAGATCATAAATAAGTATGGGGGTTTACGCACCACAGAAGCCGATATACGCATGATCATTCTTGCAGTCGAATACAGTTATCGAAGCAACAGGGTTCAGGCGAGTTCATACTTTTCGCTTTTTGTCTCGGTGGCACACGTGTGAGGAAGATGGTGTGGTATTGGTCGTAACATGATCGTGATCTATTGCATGCCAAAAAAGAGCGATGGAGTGTGCCGAGTAGAGATAGCAAGAGGGAATAAACCAAGTACCAAAAACTGTATACCGCCGAGAACATCTATCGTGTGTCCTCAAGCCATAAGTAAATTAGATGAGCAAATAAAAAAAGGGCATGTAGGCACAAGTGCGTAGTCTATTTGCCACCGGTGGTGCCAAGACCCATCGATGCCTTGAAGGAGTCATAGATCCACCATTGGAAGCCTTGATGAACGAGGTTGATTAGTGATTTCAAAGTAGTGTAAAATCGACGTACCAGTGAGAGTACCGATCATCAATACACGGGTGCCGAGACCCTTGGTTGCAAGCGTGACAATGCCAGTTTCCGATGCGATAGTGCCAATGCTTTTGCCCTTGTTTGAAGGCTTGCCCATGAGGGAGACTACAGTGTCAGCCGGGTGGGAGACAACAGCGCAGACAACACCAGCGAGATAACCAGAAGCAAAAGTGACACCAAGTTGAGTGGTCTTCGCATACGTCTCTTTAGGCTCAGGGAAGACGTGAGTATAGAAGAGCTGGACGATCTTCTCGTAAAAGAGGAACTTGGCCATGGTGTAGGGAATCTATTACGTCATAAGTCAAATGCAATCAGAACCAAAACAACACAGCTAACCTGACGAGACCATAGAGGAACAAGGGAACCGAAGGGGTAGCGGGTCTCAGCCTTTGTCCTGCTCATCTCCGCAAGGGCGGCACCGAATGAAGTGGGGAATGTGCCACTAGGGCTGGTTTGGATCTTGACCTTAGTCATCTCGAGAGGGCATAGAGCGATGTCGGCAAAGACCTCTGCCGAAGCGGAACCGGCGAGCCAGATAGCGGGCTTGTACTTGTTAGACAGCTCCTCGCCAGCCAAGTTCATGTACTGGTCCTTGAACACTTCATAGAGACCGAACTTGAACATGCCTTGTAACGAGTACCCGACAAAGGTGGGGCCGAAGCCTTTCCAGATACCAGTCTGACCCTCCTCGCGAATGAGCGTGACGAGACCAGACGAGAGGCCCTTGTATTTTGCAGGATCCACCTATTCACAAGAGCTATGAGATACCACGCAGTAAGGAAGAGCTAGATAAACCGACCTGCATGTTACACTTGGCCACATCAAGAGGTGTGATGCCGGCGTGAGTGATACCGCACGCAAGAACACCACCGAGCATGCACTTGGCATAGTACGTAGCGTCATGAGGTACGGGACCAATGTATCTTCAAACCAGATGAGGTCAAAATCCAACCTGAGATAACACCGAAAATAAAACAAGAAAGATACCTTGCGTCCCATTTACCAGTTGGTGCTAGATGCGACATCGTTTATTATTTTAGAAAATCCCTAGACGAGAAATCTATGAGAGACCTTGACTGGAGCCTTGAGCCTGTCCGAACAAGCGCCGGAGTCGGAGGTCGAAGTAAGGGAAACCTGTTAGGTGTGCAGACTGACCCAAATTTTACCAAGTTAAATTTAGGTTGGATCCTGTAGCATCGGCTCCATTAGTAGCACCGTATTTGTGATGTGAGTTCTAACTTCTCAATCGCGTCCATTTGATTTCCAAGACTTTTCGCCGAGCTTACTAATTCTCCTCTTGTTCCATATGCATGAGCACTGCAGCGAACTAGTGCTACGCTAACCGATGGCGACAGCAGGCAGTGCGACAGACGTGTGACAAAGTACGCGGACTCTAGGAAAAATGCTCTTTTCTGCGCGGTAACTGTCCGCCGGACTCAACACGTCAAGTTTCAAAAGAAAAACTAGAAGATGCTGTACTTTCGATGTCAGGCTATCGAACTGTCAAAGAATTAATGTTTGTGCGTTGTGGAGTAATAGCGTTACCCCCAAAATGCCCGAGATATTATCTACTAGTATTCCCTTCCATCATGAGGTTCATCTTCTGGCTGAGGTACATGGTCAAGACAGCTGCATTCCGTTCGTACAGGGGTCTCTTCTATGTCTTCCTGCGACTGATCCGATACTGCCAATCTATGGTGAATGGGAAAGAGGAAGATTTCCGACAACGCCCCGGCGGTTTAGCATTGAGCTCTCAGCCAGGGACCAACCAACCTGACTCCCAGCCGGCGCCTCCTGTGAGCCTCGCAGTGCCGTTGCTCGAGGCACCTCCACAGAGTCTACCCAGCCGAGGGTCCCAGCCTCAAACGGATATCCAGAATCTTCAGGTGCCAACTCCCGGCATCTCCGAACTGTATATCACCACGCCAGGCCAGACGTTTGATATCACTCTTATTCCCATTACACCACTTGAGGTCAACCGATACGGGAGGAATGTGCGAGTGTACGCAAATTGTATTTCAAGCGAGTTGGCAAAGTCCTGATCCATGCTTGCAGTAAAGATGAGTACGAGGCTTTCTTGGTCGAGAAAGGTCCTTTGGATTGTTCAGAGTAAGCATGTCGGCGAGAGAATCAGCGATAATATTGAATGGTCTCGCAGGGAGCTTGCTCCGGTCGCGGGATGGGAGCCGCTCACGCAACCAGAAGGGGCTATGATCTTCTATCAGCCATATAAAGTACGTTTAACCCCCGCTACTAGTACATGCATTTACTCAAATTACACACCAGAGAGTTTTCACTGATGTTGATGTTCGAGATCCTCAGATTATAGTCAAAATTGACAAAGCTGTTGAGAAGGCGTACCATGAAGCGCGCAACGCAAGCATCCCCTTGGATCCATTCGTCGAGCTAGGGTTAGAGCTTATTGTAAAGGACGGCGAAGAAATGTGGGGCTACTACTTTGTTGACCACAAAAAACGTGTCATTTTCTGGTTCGAAGACCACAGATCCGATTCTCTCATGAGTCGCATCCGAGGGGTAGAGCGAAAAAGTCATATCAGTAAGTTCTTTCCGTGGAATTCTTTCCATTTAAGCTCCTGTGATCGTAACATCCCCAGAGTATGCACTAGAATCACAATACTGGTTTGTGTAATCTCAAGTACGTACATTCCCTCACTTGACCGAAGTCAATGAACTCACTTTGCAACAGCTCTTTTGTGTTTCCCATGATTTACATACTACGGCATTGGCAGGAGACACATTGAGCTATTTCCAAACAGACGCTTCCTTCCGGAAGACATTGTTGTGGAACTCAAAGAACTCGTCATGTATGCTCAAGCAGGTGAGCAAAGACTAATAAGTGTCTCATGCCCTACAGGATTGACTGGCGATAGATAGTATCACTTCTCAAACATCCGTAGTACATTTTGCTTCGGACGACATCGCAAATATTCTCAGCCTCGTCGATCTTCTTAGAAGTGAGTTGATCCCTGTTTGTGGGATCGTCGTTGATTGTCTTTTCAGAGAGTGCTAACAAGAACCGCGAGCATTCCGTGTGGATCGCTGGTAAGTTCAATCATGGACGGTCGGTTGTTTGTTTCTGATATGTTTACTGATCTCAGCTCGAATCATGAAACATCTCTGTGAGCTTCGGCCAGTAGTCCGCTATCCACATTTCCTGATTAATTTGCTAGGCGAAACTAAGTTTGTGAATTTCTATGGACAACCAGGCACCCGACTCGACGTAGAGAAATCGTTGTACGGAAAATCTGATGCCCCAAAAAACAAGCTTTCTCGTGCCGTTAATGCTATGATTGGAAGATGGCAAGAGAGCAAGGCCTTCCACAAAGTATGGGTCGATGGAAGGATCGTTCATGCGCGGTGGGAGCAGTACATAGACAAGCTGAATAGCGACTGGAATGGATATACAATATTTGTGAGTTCTACTTCATATTGTTCTCATGGTTAATGACTATCTCAGTCTACTGTGATGGTTGCTGTTGATGTCAGCTTTCTCGCAGTCCCATCCATCCAGACTCAAGATGGTGTGATCATACAACTTTACACCTCTACCTTCTCCGCCATGTGCTCGTTGTTCATTACGCTATTGTTAGTTACACAAGTTAATAAGGAATTACGAGGCTCCAATACAGCCGTGGTATGCTCATCTTTACATTCGTTTATCCTATACTTATTCTTTACGCCCACAGGTTTCTTACCTAAGCAGAATGGCGGCGGGTTCTGTGCTTGACTCGGAAAGCTTTCCATTTTTGCTCAGTCTGCCGCTCGGATTTCTGAAGCTTGGGTAGGTTCCCTGTTACGTTTCATGTTAGCGGCTTATTGTTCGACAGAGTATCCTGCTTCATTGGAGCACTGCTGTCTGCGATTATCGGCATTGCTACCTTTCCTGCCAACATCATTATATATTCAGTATTGATAGCCATGGGCCTTCTAGTATCTTGGCTTCTACATTCTAGAAGTGTTACTTATGTTGGGCTTGTGCCGTGGTACTTGCTTCGCATGTGCTACTGGAACACGAGCCGATTCATTGTTTACTTGTGGAACAGGATCATAGAACGAGTGTCGCCTACGGTCACTACCCCCTTGGAAGTCTAAGTGATTTTCTGTAGCGCGCGAGCTTTATAGCATCATTTTGGTTGATTTATGCCATACCCTTTTAAATCTACATATACTTACACAGGATACAAATATCAATGTTATGTATCAATGTTAACCCAACTTCGGGTTTATTGCTGTTAGAGACGGACACGGCGGTTTCGGGGGTTTCCCTCAGGCAAGGTTGAAGGATTTTATCACTGGAATAATGGCGCTATGCAGCAAATACAAATTTAGGCTGGATCCGGCTTTAGCATCGGCTTCATTAGTAGCATCGTATGATTTGTGATGTGAGTAATTCTCCTCTTGCTTACCATGAGCGCTGCAGCGAACTAGTACTACGCTTACAAACGAACCGATTGCGACGGTTTCAAGTTGTCCACGTCCACGTCACTGTTGCAGATGTCAAATCGCGGGAAGTAAAATAACACACCGAGGTGAATATTCCCTCTTATTATCCGGTCACACAGTCAGTGAACAGAGCATTTCGCAGGTTTCTTTACTACAATGCCTGCTACCACGGTTCAAGACTCTGTGCCAGAGCATCACAGACTTGCCAAAACGAATGGAGCCAGCAATGGCTCCATTAGTCCTGCTTGGATCCCTACCCAAGTAGAAGACGTCACACTGAGAACCAGTGAATTCTCCTTTGATACAGTAGAGGACGCGCTTAACGCATTCACGCGTGGTGAAGCTGTTGTTGTTATGGATGACGAGCGAAGAGAGAACGAGGGTGATTTAATTATTTCTGCGAGTCATTGTTCCGTGGAGGCCATGGCATGGATGATCAAGCATACCAGGTACGAGTCCTTTGCACCCATGCATTCCGTCTTCATGTCTATTTTAGCGGATATATCTGCATATCTCTTCCCGAGGAGCGTCTCAATGAGCTCGAAATTCCCATGATGGTTCCCGAAAACCAGGAGCGGCACAAAACTGCGTACACCATAACCGTAGACTACAAACATGGTCTGTTTTTCTTTTTCTGAAGCCTATGCCACGATTAAACGATCACGCTTATAGGCACAACAACAGGCATTTCCGCCCATGATAGATCTCTCACCGTGCGGAAGTTAGTCGATCCCACTTCGACTGCATCCGACTTTAGCCGCCCAGGGCATATGGTACCTTTGCGAGCACAGAACGGCGGCGTCCTGGAACGCAGAGGTCATACGGAAACTGGTGTCGATTTGTGTGCCCTCACCAATCAGCCTCTAGGAGGAGTGCTATGCGAGCTCGTGAATGACGATGCGTTGGGCACTATGGCGCGACGCGATGATTGCCGATCATTTGCCAATCGATGGGGCCTGAAAATGATCAGCGTGGATATGTTGGCACAGTACAGAAAAGCGATGGAGAGCAGGAGTACTGTGGCATCATGACAGATGAAAGGATACACGGGGATATGTATATACTTAGAGAGCATTGGTGTAAATCAGCCAGACTTTAGACATCCCCTCGGGGATTCCGTGGAAAAACCGAGGGAACCTATTCAAGGTCCTGAGACTGCCGTCTCAAAGATGAGAACATTACATCTTTGAAGATCGTACCGGCGGCTTGTAACAGTCTTTATTTGATCCCTGAAGCCCCCGAGAGCCTGTACACAACGTTCCACGACCTATGCAATACCATACGTATGACTCTGCTGATTTCTGCCAGGTATCCGACCGACGTTTCCCAGAGTCACACTCATCGCCATTCAGAATTTGGGAGAAGCTGAAGCCTGGGTTCTGACTCGCAATATGCCATGCGTGCGCAATTTTGGTTGTGACACAGGTAACTTTTGTTCTGGGGCTTGACTGCAGGGTTATATCGGGATGCATGAATGGGCCAGATCGAAGCATCATCGACGAACAGGCGTGATGCAGCTGCGCAGATACACTGCCGTGGTCTGTACATTTGTTGTGTTTCCGTAAAACTACAACAATCGACAAACAGATGGTGTGGCCTTTCCAAGTACTTGCACCCGAATCGGTACTACGGAGTTGTATTTCACATACGTGTGAAACACACTCGCGGTGTCTAATTGTTGTGGCCTTGCGTAGAGTTGTATCAATGCCGAATATATAAAGGGCGTGTGCACAGTGCACATAGGGATGTTATAATGGAGCATGCGAGTCGTAGAAGCAGCGCGAGGGTAAGACTTGGAGTTCAGATCAGCTGCGGCATGCCGCGAGGGCATGTAAGCAAGTAACAAAGGTATTGGGAACTCGATAAATTTCAGCGCGGGAGAATATAGTGAAAGGTTGGCTAGTGCCAATGTGGCACATAGAACTGGATACGAACGAATGATACGAGAATGAGAGTTACAAGCAGTGGTAACGACAATTGCATTGTGCCGGAAGAAAAGATGAGCCTGGATGTGCGACAAAGTGACAGGGCTAGGAGAATACGAGATGATGCAGTGTGAGCAACAATATAGGAAGCATGCAGGCGAGTAGAAGAGGGAACACAAGACTGGAAGTAATGATGCGTTTGGCGTTTAAGTGATCGCTGTGAGTTTCCACACCTGAGCGGCAGATAAGATAAGAGTTATGAGACTGTACAATTGTCAATCCCCATTAGCATAATTATGCAGCGAGCTAACAAGCGATCCTGCCAGGACCTGCCACTGTCGTGACAGTGGCAGATGCGACGGATCGCACCCTAACCATTGTCACTTGAACTGTCACAGGGGAATATAGCGGACGCTGACGTGGGAGCTGTGGGGAGACAAGCACACCACCAAGAAGGGCGACTTCAACATGAAACTGTCGAGTTTCCCGAAGATAAAGCAACAAGGGTCAATCCAACAAGGGTGGTTGAACGAGACGAGGCTTACATAAATATTTGCGGGCTTATCAGAAAAAGGAAATCATTTCACTGAGGCACTGATCGTGCCTGGACCTGACAAAGCCTAACCCTCCCCGACTTGACAAAAACACACATATATATAGGAATCCGACAGAATCCGACGCACATGACTGTAGTTGACAAAACAGTCAAACTAGTATATGCTTGTGAGTTTATCAATTACTGTAACTTACCACTAGTACTACTAACTGCGTACTACGCCTGTGCCTGCCACAGCGGCTGCAAGTTTGACGCGTGCGGCGTGACGGATCAATATTTTAAACTCCGAGGAATGGTATGACAAGGTCTTTGTGTCGCACCTGGGACTTCAGCAGTTGTATTCTGAACTTCTTCCACTAACTCCAATTTTTGACAAGGCATTTGCATCGCACATTCACCACGTCGGCGTGGGCCAGCCTAGCCTCAATACGCGTATCCACTTCATGGACCTCAGCTACTAGCACAACCTCGCTACTCGTGAGAGCTGCTCTGCGATCCCATGTGTGCAACCGTTCTTTACAGTCCCACAGAGTGTCCGTGCTCTTAAATATGCGATTCTGCCCATTCCCACCTTGCACCTCTTCTCCATGCCCAGTATTGTTTGTATTGTAGTCCGAACCTTCTCCTAATACACCATTCCTCAGCTCCTCTCATGACGCTTCTGTCATTGGCAATCAGTTCTATTATTTTGCTGGCTATCATATCGGATGTGGTTGGAGCACCTCAGGGGTATACGTCATCTGCTCGACAGTTTATATCTTTGACACGGAAGACGCAACCTTCACGGAACATCTCAGAGTGGGCGGAGTATGCCAAGAACCTGCGGGACGCCACAATTGCGAAGTACTCTTCACAACTTAGTCAAAAGCGGGGAACGGGCGAGAATTTGTATGCTGAACTATTTGATCCGAGTACACTGAAGTGCGACACTAATATTTGATCAAAAGATTGGTCAACCAGGGGATTGACACAAGGTATGTCGTGTATTCCACCTCTGTCTAAGCGTGCTCAATTCCTGTAGCTTCTACGGATCCCTGGTTGTTGGTACACCACCTCACCCATTTGACGTAATTTTAGACACTGGATCCTCGTGCGTCGTCGACTCACGCGGACACGAATCTATCTAACATTCTTCCCAGAGATATGTGGGTTTCATCGTCGACATGCCAATCTACGTGTGCAGGAACGGGTAATTTTGACTCGGCAAAATCCTCTACGTTTAAAAATATGAATAAGAACTTCAGTGTGACCTACGAAAAAGGTTACGCAGCAGGCACTGTCGGGAAAGATGTTGTTCAAATGGCTGGTTTCACGATCTCTGATCAAACATTCGGTGAATTTAACTATTTGTCGTCATACAACTTAATTGTCTAATACTGACGGGTAATAGGGGTGGTGACAACTACTGCGGCGAACTTCTTGCAAAATCCTGTCACCGGTATCTTTGGTCTCGCATGGCAGTCGCTCGCAGCCTCTGGTGCTATGCCGTTTTGGCAAGCACTTGCAAGTAATGGCCAATGGAGTCAACCCTTGATGGCTTTCCAGTTGACTCGGTAATCATATCCCTGTTATGTCCATTTGCTCCAGGGGCACTTACGATGAATGATTTAGCTTTTTAAATGACAGCAAAGCTGGCGAACTAGAACCTGGTGGATCTTTTACAATGGGTACGAGAGTAACTCATATCATTCTTGACGTGTCTCACCTTCGTTTTCAGGATATACAAACGAGAGTTTATACACTGGGACGATCAACTACCAGGATATTCCCAATGGGCAAGCTTCGTACTGGCTTCAACAAATTACTTGTGAGCTTCACCGTAATCTTACTTTTGTTTGTGTCGTTCAAGCACCTTGAAAGCGATAACTGTGCAAGGAAAATCTATATTTTTGCCAAGCGGCAGTGACTCTTATGCTGCAATTGATACCGGTACGACACTCGTGGCAGGGCCTGCGGCTAGCATCGCAGCCATTTACGCTCAGATCCCTGGATCTCAGCCTGGGACGGGTAGCTGGGAGGGATTCTACAGTTACCGTAAGTACGACATATCTCTCTGGAATCAGGGCACCGAAACTTCATGAAAAGCCTGTAACACTGCTGTTGTGGTGGAGATCTCGTTTGGAGGGCCCAATTGGTCAATCAGCCCCGGTGATTTCGCATTCACATCCATACCCACCTCGGATGAATGCTATGGCGCATTTTACGCAATACCCACATCTGGTGCCAGTGGGACTCCTTCCTGGATTTTAGGCGACACGTTCCTGGTATGCTCTCTTAGTGCAAATACACTTCTGATGATTAATGCCACGAGTCAGAAAAACGTTTATTCAGTTTTCCGGTACGATCCCCCATCTGTCGGATTCGCGGCACTGTCGGAAATTGCACTTGAAATGAATGGCTTGGCTGGAGGAATACCTTCCGCTACTCTCGGTGCTAACTCAGCAATGTTTACCTTGGAGCCAAACGCGGCACCCCCAACACGCACCTCTAGTGCAGTTGCAATCGTCATTTCCGCTTTCTTCGCCACCTTAGTTTCATTTGTACAAGCATAATGCTGCGGTTGTGGACATAAGTACTACTGCATTTACAGCGCCACCTAGGCTGCCAGGCACAGCCCTCTCGGACCGACATGCAGGGGTGGCTGTGCTCAAGCCTCAGATCGTCATCTGAAACTGATAGCATTTTCACCTGTTGGGCATCGCTAGATGTTGTAATTGTAGGAGGCGCATTGATCGCTACAAGAGCACATGATTTAAGTACTGTAGCTGTTCGTTAGACAGGCTCGTGTGTTGCCACGTACCTTGAAACTGTTATCACACACATTTCCGGTTAGCCAGTTACTAGTTACTGCTAATAGCTTTACCAAGGGCCATTTTGAGGCTGTTTTTCACAGCTTTTCACACGCCCTTTGTATGATATTCACCCAACTTGCAATTAAAGGTACCGACCGTTGGCGATGTCAGCTGCGGCTAGCTGCGGACAGCTTGTAATGCGCAGTGCTGAGTGTATCATGAACATGTATTTCAGGACAATTGGTTGGTTGGCATCCCATACATTCGTTATTCCCCATTCTCCACTGGCTCGTGGTCTCTCGCCTTGGACATTCTCCGGTAACTTAGTGATCAAAACTCAAACCTGAGTCTTGACATGATACCATTAATTTTTCTTGCATCCCTCCTTGCGCTGCCTGCGGATACGTTTGGAGCACCCACAAATGTGGTTCCGGTTTCTGGTCAATCCATCTCCCTTCTAAGAAGGAATCCGTCCCCTCGAGATGCCACCCAACGGGGCGCTGTGGCGAAGAGGCAGAGGGACAATTTAATAGCCAAGTATGGCGGCGTGACAACACAGAAAAGAAGCACTGGTTATAATTCGTGCGTAGTATTATAGCAGGAAACATATTTACTGAGTCCAACTTTTCTTCAGGATCGTCAATCAGGACTATGATTCTAGGTAGGTGTTGGATATATCCACAGGTGTGCATATCGCCCTGATTGAAGTATCCGTATAGCTATTATGGTTCACTGGCTATTGGTACGCCTGCGGTGTCCTTTGATGTCATATTAGACACGGGCTCTTCGTAAGTTCCAGTACAGTTCACGTGTCGACATAATTTAGTAACGCATTTTCGCAGTGATCTCTGGGTCGCTGGTTCTTCTTGTGGTACTTCATGCGGGTCGGTTGCTACATACAACCCATCATCTTCATCAACTTTCCAAAACCTCTCTACGCCATTTGTTATAAATTACGGCTCGGGTTCTGCGGAAGGCTATGTTGCACAGGACACAGTGCAAATGGCGGGATTCTCCGTTGCCAGTCAAGGATTTGGTCAGAATCTCATCTTACTGACAGGTCCGCTGGCGTTTACTTACATGCACTACAGCTGTTGTGGATGTAGTGTCAAACGGTTTGCTGACATCACCGGTCTCTGGCTTGCTCGGTCTGGCGTGGCAACCCCTAGCAAGTTCAGGTCAGACGCCCTTGTGGCAAACTTTGGCCTCCAGTGGTTCTTGGGACTCAGCTCTCTTTGCTGTTCAGCTCACTCGGTGACAACATTTGCTCCCTAAAACTAAGTGTATTGCTAACATGGAACAGGTATACAAATGATTCCAGCGCCCAGACACTTGAGCCCGGAGGAGTCCTTAATATGGGTACGAGACATTCCACAGCGTGAGACATCTACTCAAAAAAAACTGCTCTTAGGTTACACAAACAGTAGTTTGTACACCGGCTCAATTGATTACATCGATATTCCCGGAACTGACACATATTGGTATCTACCATTGACTTGTAAGCGGTTTACCAACTCGCAATAAGTCTCCTCATTTATTCCAATCCAGCGATAACTGTGCAAGGAAACAGCATAACTATTGATTCAGGAACAACTGTTGCTATTGACACTGGCACGACCAATATAGGTGGTCCAGCCAGCTCGATTGAAGCAATCTATGCACAGATTCCCGGCTCACAACCAGCCACAGGCGAATGGGAAGGATATTATAGCTTCCGTAAGCAAACTTCTTGAACATTGCGAGGTCAAGTGGCTCAACGCTCGATCAGCATGCTCGACGACTGTCAATGTAGAGGTATCGTTTGGTAGCGCGACGTGGTCGATAAGCTCAGCAGATATTGCGTTCGACCAACTCAGTTCAACAGAATGCATTGGCGCATTCTTTGAGACAACTACTGGTACTGGGACCCCCTCTTGGATCTTCGGCGATGCATTCCTGGTATGTGGCAATGATAAACGGCCCGCGTTCTGCAATACTGAGCAGTTTTTCCATATTCTATTAGAAAAATGTGTACTCTGTCTTCCGCTACAATCCCCCTTCGATTGGCTTTGCCAGTCTCTCAAGTGTCGCCATCGCTGAAAATGGTGCTGGAGGCACCGTCCCTTCCGCGACCATTGGTACGGTATCTGCGGCGGTCACAAACACGAGCGATGCCCCACGTGGACATGCACTGAGTGCATCATTGTCTCTACTCTTCCTGGCTTTCTCAGCAGTGCTCCTCCTTTAATTTCGATGTCATCTGCATTCGCCTTTCTAATGAAGGACTCATCTGTATAGGACTAATGGACACTCACTTATTTGGACCACGCTCACTTGTAATTAATGTATATGATGTGATGGAGGGCATGTACTTGTTACTGGTCAGTTCTTTATGAGTTATAAGCAGTGATGAACGGCGACTACACTAATCTATACAAGCAATTTGTTTACCTTGAGACATGTACCTCATCAGGAAACCCACAGCCGAGCAAAAGTGATTGTAGCACAGCGCTTCTTTCCAATTGACTGTACATCTACAACTTTAGCCGCTCAATGAGCTGGTCATTGAACGCTTGGTTTGGGATAGTTCAGGGATTGGTTACGGCCTCGAGGTTTTTTGGAAAGGATGGACTAGCCGAGGCATGTCACGCGGATGGATTACCAAAAGCTAGGGCAGGATCATCTAGCGGTACATTGTCCTCATGATGGAAGATGAGATCACCAATAATGGTTTCCTCTGCATCACCATCTAGAGGATCAAAGTCCTTGTAGTATCCGCTGTAGACTGTGGGAGTGTACAGTAAGATGCAACTGTCCAATCTAGTGCATAGTACATACCATCTTGCGCAGCTTCAGAGTCATCCCCATATTTGTCTTGGTAATTCCAATCCTCGTTAGATGGGCGGTGTAACAAAACAACAATTGCTGGACACTACTCAAAGTAAGTAACCAGCAATATAAAATGTTGTGGTCTAACACAGCCTAGTCTGCTATACTTGCAAGACAAGTGCATTTGACCCGAGGGGTTCGCTGTAAGGTATTAGAATAATTAGTTATATGAAAAGGAAGATAGTCCGAGTGTGGGAAACAAAGTCCGAAGGTAAAAACATCGGGTCCGATGTTTTTGGACTTTCGGGTTACATCGGTGACCTGCACCAAACTGGTTTGGTGCATGGATGACTAATACTCTCTCATGAGCCCTATACCCTATAAATCACTATGAAATCATTTTCCGAAGTCAGACTGAGGCTAAGGGAATATTTTTCGCTTTTTTCATTTTTACGAGTTTGTACGCAAGCGGACTGAATATTTTTGTACATTCAATTCTGCGCTGAGTTTTGCTTAGTCAGCCATGAAGATGACTCAGAAGATTCTCACACATATCAGGTGACTGTGAAAAATATGTTTGCATAAGGTTACCCTGTGGGAAAGCTTACAAATCACTAAATACGTGTCCTATGTCATTATGCTACCAATCAATTCATCAGCCACAGATTTCACAAACATATGTACACAATATGTAATCATTTCTCACTCTTGTCTAGCTGAGTCATCAAGGGTCACCTGACCCATGGGCCATATACAGCTCTTGCTGACTCATCATTATACCAACTAGAGTTATGAATATTTACTTTTGACCCAAAGATACTGTGACTTGGTACTAACGAACTAAAGTTACAACCTTAAGTACGAGAAACTAGTAGTATAGCCACCAAATTTGTCTATATAAGGACCAGCTTTTTGCCCAATAAAACAAGCAATTCCCCTTTGCTTTTTTTTGCTCTCAGAATAAAATTGTGAGTGAAGTGTGAATCAGCAACCAGCAAGTGCAGTTCAAGGTTGGAGCTCACTGTGCTCAACAACCAGCACAATACTTCTGAGCTCATTGTGTTGAACATCTAGCATATACCTTGAGCTCACTGTGCCTGACGACTAGCAAGACTAGTTTTTCTTTTTCTGTTTTCTCTTGATTGTCTGTCTGAATTTCTCTATTTTCTTTGTGTCATTGTCTGTGTCATTGTCTGTGAATCTCTCTGTGATTTGTCTTTGTCTCTGTGTCTGTTTTTCTGAGTGTCTGTGTGTTTGTTTTTCTCTCTGTTTTCTCTGAGATTGCATCTGAGATTCGTGACTGAAACTCGTGTTTCTGTTTCTTTTTCTGTTTCTGTTTCTCTGTCTCAAGTGTATGTGGTGTATTGGTGACTGACTGTGCTGACCATCTCTCTGATTGCTGTCTGTTTGCTTTGTGATCGTTGTTGCTAACAGTCTCCGTGACTGTGGTTGTGTTCGTGTTTTTGTTGTAGCGGTCTCATTTTGTTGTCTCAACCTATCAACTTTCTCTCAAGTACCAAAGTTTTAGTCTCATTCTTACCCAGAAGTTTGGTGTTGTCTCTTTTTGTCCACAGAAGACTCTGATAGTCTAGTGGGGAGACTTTAGGTGTTGACAGTGATACCTGACCTCATACATCTGTGTGTTATACTGATCGAGGGTAGTCATTTGCGAGTTAGACTTTAGCTATTGAAAAGGGGACTTGGTATTGAAGTCTAAGGTCGCCCGTTCCTGAGTCTATTTAATACTCATTGTGAGTTCCTTGGCAGCAGGTTCAATATTAGGCTAAGAGTGCTACAGAGGCTTGACTAGGCCTGACAGTAGTTTCACCTGTTTTTGTATTGAGGTGGACTCTCATTGTAACTCCGCACAACTTGCTGCACTAAGTTTGTGTATGAATCATTGTTGCTGTGTGAAGTGTTAGGAAGAGTGTCTGTTTGTTTTGTGTCAGCTC